AAGCAGAAATCTCACCTTGGTGTCCAAGTCAGTTTTCTAGCTCTGCTTCTTGCAAGCTTTATTGGAGGTGTTTGCAAAACTGTATTTTTAAACTTTTGTAAGAGAAACACTTTCAAGAATGAAGAGTAACCGGTTTGGCCAATGACCCACCCCACCTTCGATATGATCAGCGCACAGCCTCAGCTTTTCTGTGGAGAGTCGTGCAGGACTGTCCCCCGTGCAGTGGATCAGACTAAACTGTATATCCAGTGCATATAGCACAGGGTTAGGACTTGCGGCTGATCAGTGGTACAAATTACCATTTCAGAGTTCACCAGATTTCACCCCTGCAATTCACTAAAACAAATTAGTTTCATCACAGATCAGTGTGCTTATCGGGCCGCTGACAGCCTTTGTTATGGTATGTGAACTGTGTCTTTAAGCAGGTGCTGCCACTGTATTGGGATTTGACCTGCTGCCCTCAGTATGTGAGATAGTTTTGCTGCAGTGGAAAGTAGGAAAGCACTCCAATAAGATAACTACTTATTTATACATTGCAAAATAGTGCTGTCCTACACTTCATTCCTCAGTACATACTGGAGGATTCAGCACCAACCCAACTGGGTTGAGCACGTTTTTTTTATTATTATCTACATGTACAGTAAAAATCATGTTTGTCAAGCAGAAAACAGATTGAACAGAAACACACTCATTTAGCAGAGAAAACATTACAGTGCCACTCCTGAATATTCCACTGTTTGTTTCTCATCAGACTCCCAGATCTCCGTTCTATAATTGTTCTGGACAGTCGACAGCCAGGAATGTTCCATTTTGAGGATGTGATGCAGGCGGGCAGCAGCCAGTTCACGCAGCAGCTTCAGGACTTGCAGAAGCAACTCTTGTTTGATGACCCCATAAACATCCAGTTCACTTCGGTACTTATTAATTTCTGCTGACCTGAAAGATTCTCAGAGTTGTGTTTAGCTCAGTTGAAACGTGTCTGTCCTTTGAGTGTGTGGTGGTGGTGTTTGTTTTTCTCTGACTCGATTTCCTGGTTTGTACTCTTCTAGGAAAACATCTGCCCACTGAATTAGAGCTCCAGACATTTTATTAGACCGAACAGGCAGCTTTCAACCCATAACACGAAAAAATGCCTGTACCCTGACAAAAGAAATTGGATCTTTTTCACCTTTTTAGATATTAAATGTTTAGGTTCAGGTTTTTTAAATATCCACAAAGCAATTCAAGATGATGCAGTAACAGTAATGCTTTATTCTGTAGGAATGGACAGACAGATCTGGGGACCTCTGTAAGCCTGTTCGCTAATCCATCCATGGTCCCGTATTTTCCAGATAATTTCCTGGAATTTTCCTCTGTATATCCTAAAAACTACATAGTAATATTTCTAAGAAAAGCCTGTCCAGTTTAATAATAATTATAAGGGAAATGGAAAACATGTTTGTTGGCATAGTATTTGCTTATTATGTTTTTAAGAAAAAAAAGTAAAGAGAAATATTCCATAAAATATGAACATCAGTATCCAACTGAGTTTCTGTGAGCCTCCTGAAGAAATGACTGAAAGTTAGTATTTAGAAATAACTGGGACTGAACCAACTGATCTTTCTATTTTACTGTACCAATAATTAGCACCAGATTTATACAGCTCTTTTCCAGAAAATCTTTGGGAAATTTATTTGGAAAGTAATTTCAAATTTAAAGCCACATATAAGAAAGCATTACAGTTAAAGCTACAGATCTTTCAGTAGATGTATTTTTCTGTTTAAACACCAGAAGCAATGTGTGGCTCATAAAACAATATAAAGCAGCTTATCAGAGTAACCTTGATGTACTGTAGCAAACTATTTTTACTATAATATTTGTTATCAGGGCACAACTGGCTATCCAAAGGGTGCCACCTTGTCTCATCACAACATCGTCAACAATAGCTACTTTGTTGGCAAAAGAATGGGATACAACTGGAGGGTGAGTCCAGATGGAAACACTGCACACACTCTGTAAACTACTTGCACATCTGTCAGCGTGGTCGTGTCTCAGTGCACAGTGATCCACCTTCTTCTTTACAAATCAGTTTTATAGCATTCCTGATTCCTAAACACAACCTTGACCCTTTTGTCTTCTGACTTTTGCTTCTGCAGCCTCACACTCGCATATGTGTGCCCGTGCCTCTGTACCACTGCTTTGGCTCTGTGGGCGGTGGGGTATGTATGGCTGTACATGGCGTCACCCTGGTCTTTCCCACTGCTGGGTACGATGGAAAGGCCACCTTAGAAGCTATGGAGCGTGAGAGGTAATCTCAGATTCTGGGTCAGTTCCAAACATTTGGTCTCAAACTTATAGTAGTTATGGGTGGAATGGATCACAAAACGCACAGTTTGGATCATATCACAGTTTTTGAGTCACATGTTGGGTAATTAATTTTGATCAGAAAAAACAAATCTAACTTTGCTTTCCTTTTATTACTTAATGAACACTTAAAGTAGGGAACATTTCAGAATCAGCTTTACTGGCCAGATGTGTTGGACACATGAGGAATTTGACTCTGGTACAGCGGCTCTGTGTGTATGCACATGTCCTTCTGTAAAGCAGCGAATAGACAAGTAAACAATATAAGGCCGAGAGAAGAAAAAGGAATGTGCATTAGGATAAAATAAAAATAAAGTACTTGCATATAAAGAATATATGTATACACACAGTTTGGCTGCTGAGCCAAACCAGACACTGGTGGATGAGCAGAGAACAGACTCGATGATTCGTCTGTAGAACTGTATCGGCAGCTCCTGTTTCCTGAAGTCAGTGATGTTTTTCAGGCTTCTCCATACAGACGAGGTGTCACTGGCTGAAAACTGGCTTTTCAGCTTTTCAGAGTGGCTCCTCTTTGCTGCCCTGATCTCCCTTGTCAGTGCGTTCTTGGCCTGCCTGTACAGGATCTTGTCCCCACGTCTATAGTCCTCTTTGGCACAACAAAGCTGCTAGAGTCTTATTGTGAACCAGGGCTGCTTGTTGTACAATGTGCAGAAAGTCTTCGTGGGCACACTCTTGTGCCCATGATCTTAAATGTCCAGTGTTTAAATAAAATCTTAAAATAATGATTCAATACTCAGTTGTTAAATTGCAATATGAGGCACAATGATGCTTTGCACCACAGCCTGTGTCCACATCATCAAAAAAGAAATAAAACAGAAAAGATGAGGATACGGTTCACATACATGCCAAACCGAGGGCAGACATCCATACGGATTACATCTTTTGCACCGCTAACAGTAGTAAAATGATATCTAAGAGCCGTGTTAAACCTGCAAGAGGCACCTTTAACAAAGGATTAAATGTGCATAGAATGAAATCTCCAGTAATTGTGCAGCTGCATTGTACCTTGGGGCTCATTGAGATAAAGGTAACAAAGAGGTTGTTGTGGGATTTTAGGCTTCGAATGTAAAAATCAAAGCTGAAGGAATTCAGTCTTTAACTGTTGTTGCCATGGGGGGTTAAGTTGCACACAGTTTTTTTTTTTTTTTTTGTTGTAGAAGTTGCACAGAATATTGTGGTTATTATATGAAGAAGCAAATAAAAAACAAAACTAATCAAAATGTATTTATAAATCACATTTAAAACTACTGAGTTGACCAAAGTGCTACAAATACCTTCATAAAATAAAGAAGGATAAAAAGTTAAGGAGAGAATTAAACACATTACAGGGAATTAGAAACTTGAGAACCCTCATACTGCTTCAAAACCCAAGGAATAAAAGCAAATCTTTAAATGAGATTTATAAACAGTTGATGGGGGTGTTAAATGGTTAAGTACTGAGGGGCTGACCTGTTTAATGCTTTAAATGTCATTAATAGGATTTTAAATTGGATCCTAAGGCACACAGGGAGCCAATGGAGAGAGGCTGAGATGGGTGTAATATGGCCCTGTTTCCAAGTTCCTGTTAAAGGCTGAGCTGCAGAAGAATCATATTTCTGGAAGAGCACTCGATATCAGTTCCTTAAAATTATGCAATTGGCATGAATGTGACACATTAGGATATATGATTCATGTTGAAAAAATGAGCTTTGATCCCAAGAGGGTCACAAAAGTGCTTGTGTGTACAAGCACGTTGTTTCAGGGTAGGACTGGTCTGGAAAGCATCAGTGTCAGCTTCTCTGAGGAGACGGACTCTCCCTGAGTGAGGATCAGATTTTGTTTGTCAGAGCTAACGAAGCTCAGCATCTGCTTTTCTTTACAATAGAAAAATCCTTAGCAAGAATCCAGCTTTTAGCCTGTTGTTACTTTATGACTAGATAAAGCAATGTAGCGGCCATTGTCCAGAGTGCTGTTTAGGTCAAGCATGGAGAGCTGCAGTCTTTCACTGAAATAAAATAGACTTGGTGCAAAAAGCACCAGTAGGAGGACTAACATTAATGACGGGTCTGTTCCATCAAAGGACAGATTCACAACTGTTCAAATCTGCTTTGCCCGTTTGACCTGTGAAGCAGGTTGCATGTCTATTTGTCATCATGCTGATCCCTTTTGAGGTCATGTTGTAGTTGTTTTAAATCCTCACTTATGCAGTTTGGACACATTTTTGCAGGTTAAATTGTCAGTGAAGATGCTTTCTCTTCATCGTCCTTTTTTCTTCTCTCAGGTGCACCTTTGTCTACGGCACCCCCACCATGTACGTCGATATGCTCAACCAGCCTGACTTGGCTAAATACGACTTGTCATCAATGGTGGGAGGTGAGGGGGAAGGCTGATACTTTGCTTTTATAGATAACTGCAGCATCCGCATTAGCGATTGTCTGCTGTGACTGCTTCATGATTTAATCCCTTTTTAAGATGATATTTTGTTTTGTCTCTGAATACTTCCATGAAAAAGCAGTGTTCATTTCACAGGCTACATCCTCTTCTGTTGCTTTTGTGCTGTAGGTGTCATGGCTGGTTCCTCTTGTCCTCCAGAACTTGTCAAGAAAGTCGTTTCTGTAATGGGCATTAAGGAACTAACAGTGAGTCAGTCTTACAAATATAATTTATTATGTTTTAATTTGTAAGATAATGGGACTTGTCTCACCAAACACCTGTGATCAAAAATTCACTCCAGGTTACAAATTGATTCAGTGATCCCTTTCAGTTCTTAGCCACTAGCTGTAGAAAAACACCTACTAGATTTAGCAAAAGCATGAAGAGATGTTATCATGCAGAAATGCATTATCAGGCCCCTTGTGAACAAGTAGTATTTAAGACAAAAGAGGCCTAATTTTATAAAAGGTTTATTGTATATGAACATTTGTTACCACTTTCAACAGTTCAGGAAGTGTAGAGATACTGAATATACATTAGATGTACATAAGTCAACATTTGTGAGTAACCCACATAGTTTGAGTGTAAGAATTTACTATTTGAATCTTATTTTTTTAAGTAAAATGTACAGTATATTAGAAAGAAAATGTGTTAAAGTAAAGAAACAACGATCCTATAAAACCTATTAATCTTTTAGACCTGTGCTTGAATTCTTATTTGTGGACATTTAATATGAAATGAATCCAGTTGTGTGTATCTTAGAAATGTTAACATGCCTTCATACAGGGAAAATGGAAGTGATAGGCAGACAGCCTGGAACTTGTATGGTTTGACCAACCTGTTATTCTTACACACATCTTCAGTCTTACAACTCATTTCCACTGGATCTGGCTGTGTTGCGTTCTGTCTTCGACCCGGCTCTGATCTGTCCTCTATACGGCTTCATCCCCCACCGGGTGCGTCTGCAGAGCGGCTCGTTGTGGTGCTCATTTTACGTGTAGGGTATATTTCCCGGTTTTTGAGCTTTTACAGTAAACAGGCTTCGTAATGGTTTCTTGTTGTCCGTTTTATTTATGTTTATGTGGGACGCATCAGAGATAGAACACGGCTGGACCTGGTGGAAACACAACCATTAACTGGACCGGCAGTGATCCGCTCTGACGAGCGCATCGCAGACAGATCCAGTGGGGTCTTACTGTCTTTTAAACTTGTAGAAATGCTGTAGGTTTTCAGTCACTGTGTCATTTTGCATTCACGGTACTGTAAAAGACATCACACAGTAGAAAAGCAGGTAAACCAGTGTTGATGCCTGAGTGACTGCTGCTTAATAATTCCTCCTAACCTTTTTTGGAGACTTCATGTCCAGTTTATCAACACTGCACTAATCAATAATATTACATCAATAACAGAGCAAATATATAGTTTAATACACAGAGTAATTTGTGGCGATAAACTCAAAAGAACTGGAACCTGATTGTTTGCTCATTGTTTTGTTTTTCTGCTCTTTATCACCCTCGTTTTCTGCAGCAGCAGCTGTTTTCAGTGTGTGTGTGAGAGAGACGGATACAGAGCATGTGTATCTATGAATGTGTTTGTGTGTGTGTTTACACTTGTGACGACTTTTGGCAGACAAATAGGAGGACAGTCTTGCAGTAGAGTGAGTTAGCATTGCTTTCACTGCATGTTGTAGCCAGTCACCTGGACAGACTCCTCTCCTGTGTAAAAGGCACAAAGTTAATAGCCAGATAAAACTTGTCTGCCCTTAGACCTGAACAGAAGCCGCAGTGAGGCAGAAAGTTACACCTCAGGTGTGCAAAGGTAGTGGTCAGTGAAGGTGTCACTTAGACTACGTTCACACTGCAGGTCTTAATGCTCAGATTAGATTTTTTTGCCGAAATCCGATTTTTTTGCGCTGTTGTTCACACAGTCATTTAAATGCGATTGCCATCTGTCTCATGTGTGAACGGTATACACCTCTGAAGTGACCCGCATGCGCAGAAGAGGACGTGACGTCAGACGCAGCGTACTGTGTTTGCGAAATAAAAATGGATGTGGCTCGTGATAGCATGTGCGTAGCGATGTACCTGACAATTTGCAATCGAAATAAAGACATAATAAGAAGAAGAATATCAAGAAGAAGGAGAGCACAAATATTGCTTATGGCCTTTTGTGGAGCAGTGGCTGCTACCTCTGTACAGAGGAATGTGTGGGTGCGGAGTCGCCAGGACTGGTGGGATTCCGTGAGGGGCTTCACTGACACAGAATTAATTCATAATTTCCGAGTGAGAAGGGAAACGTTATCACCACCTGAATCACCGTTGTCTACCATTTTTGTTACCCCTCGCCTCCTCCAGCGCAGAATTGTGACGTCTGTCGCATTTCAATGACATAAAAATCGCATGAAATGCGACCTGGCCATTCAAACTGAAGTCGCATTGCAAAACATCGGATACGTATCCGATTTAGGACCACATATGAAAGTGGCCTGGGTCGGATTTGAAAAAATCAGATTTGTGCTGTTCACACTGTCATAAGGAAATCGGATATGGGTCGCATTTGGGCAAAAAGATCGGATTTGAGTCACTTCAGCCTGCAGTGTGAACGTGGTCATTAACATCAGATTTGGAGGTTAAGCGTCTCCAGTATATTATTTGCAAGATCACCAGTAGCTAGATCTTTACATAAAAACTGGCTGTTTATTGATATCATTTTAATGCCTGTGGAGTCAGTTTGACATTTTGGGAAATATGTGTGTGCTGTTTTGTGGAGGGCTAAGATGCCACTCATATCTTTACAGTAAATATAAGGCTACAGTTAGCAACCAGCTAGCTTAGCTTAGCATAAAGACTGGTAAATAAAGGAAACAGCCAGCCTGGCTCTGTCCAGAGGTAACAATCTGTCTAACAGCCCATTGCTTAATCTTACATGGCATTAGTTTGTTCTGTAGACAGTAAGAAGTCTCGGCTCCCAGTTAAGAAAAGCACCCACTAAGCTGGAAAACAAGGTATTACTTATTAATTACTGAGCTTTACAGGTGAATTCTGTTTCCTGTCTTTATGCTAAGCCAAATCTTCAAATTTAAGATGTACTGATCTTCTCATCCAACTCTCAATGAAAAGCCAACTTCGGAATCTCCCAAAATATTGATCTATTCCATAATGCAGTTTTTATTTCTGATCGGGTCAAGACTGTTAGTGAGGCTGCCTATTATGGAGGAAACAAAGATCTGGTTCAGGGTTTTTCTTTGCTCATCATGTCCTTTGCAGTGACGTGCGGTGAGGTTGACAGCTGGTGAGGCACTAACTCTTTTACAGTCAGATTTACAAATACAAATGAACCGTTAACAAATTGTCTGTTAACAGACAATGCGTTGTTTATCTCATATCAGCATTCTTCACACAAACATGGCCCATATTTAATTTGAGGTTAAAATTTATTCCAATTGAGCTTATTTCTAACTAGAAATAATAAAAGTTTATGGTCTTACCTTTACTTGTACACGAAATCCATTTGTCAGCTGGTATGTATTACAAACCCTTTTACCGTTCCAATGCAATATTAAAAAGAATTTTTTTCAATAAAGAAGATCCTTCTGGACAAAAATGACCAGACTGTCAAAAATGTTTTGATTGAAAGTCCAGATTTGCGAATTTTCTCAGCCTGGAAATGTAATCTTCCATTTTGATAAGGCGGATTGTAAAGGAAATATAAACAAGCACGAAGAAGATTGTAGGTAGCGCAAGAAGCTGTGGGCTCACTAGCGCCCTCTGCCTTGAGGCAGGCGTACTGTTTGCCTCACCCCACCGAGAGGCACAGCAAAGTGCTGCCTCATCGCGCATCTCCTCCATGTATTTGAACGGGACATATGGAAATTCTGCTATTCTTTATTGAAAAAAATCCTTCAACATCGGATTCGAACGGCAAAAGGGCCTACAACACACACCAGCCGACAAATATTAACATTTATTATATTTTATGGTTAACTTTTTTTTCTCTTCAAGATTGACAGGGGAGGCTCTGCCTCACCTGCCTCCCCTGACCGCACGTCACTGGTCCTTTGGTCATTTGGTGGCAGATACCTGCGCGTCTGCGTGCTCAGTGACGTGTACCCGTCCTGGTTCTCTTTGCTTTGCTTCTGCAGCCGCTGAAAGCGGTGCTGTCCCTGATCTGCTTGCCTTTCTGTGCCGCTGGAGAAGAGCACACTGCATCGGGACGATTGCGGCTAGAGTCCATCCACCTGTGTGTAGAAACCAAAAGATAAGGAGCAAGTGTCAGTGTTGGGAGGTTTATACAAATAATGAGGGAGTCTGCTGACGCTGAGGTTTTGCCTAGCATCACCAGAACGTTGTAGGCCAAGAACGCAACGAGTGAGGCCCTGACTCCTGCTTGATGGACTGCCATGATGTTTGGTAGACACATACATGTCCACAGGATGATAAGTTAACTTTTCCTCCAGCATCACCACAGGTCAGGATATTAAAGGTGCCCTGTGGCGTTTGCCTGTAAACAAACAGAAGTTATGTTTGTATCCAGTGTTGCTCACCAAAACACACTGTATATCTGGGAGCTCCAATAAACATGTTGACTGCATTTCCATCCTTAAAACATTCAGAATCTTGAGGTTTCTTACAAGTTTGAAACCTGCCTTGTTTACATCCATGTTTATTTGCTAGCAGTCGTCTTTTTCCCTACCCCCACTGGCAAATTGCTGCATTTCTTGGCGTATTACCACCACCTGTAGTTCAGTGGAATAGTGAAACCAGTGGCTGTGTGTGCGCATGCACAAGAAAAAAATGGAGGATGTGGTCAACGAGTGATAATTGTCATCAGTGATGAATCTGGCATTCATTTTCTGAAGTAACTGATTAATTGTTTGGTCTATAAAACATCAAAAATGTCAATTTCCTGCAGCCCAAGGTGGTGATATCGAATGCCATTTTTATTCTGACCAATGGTTTATAAAACCCAAAGATACTCAATTTCCTAGAATGTTGAAACAAGGAACATGTAGGAAGATGGAACAACTGACAGTTGACTGATTAATTGTTGCAGCTCTGCAGTCCTGAAAAACTGCTCCATCACAAAACTCCACAGGGCACCTTTTAATTTGTTCAGTATTTTTGTTTACAACCAAATACCTGCAAGAATAATGATTTTCATGAGCTTCAACTTTGTTGTGTTCAGTGCTAATTAACACCTCAAGCACAGTTTAAACATTGTACCGGCTAAACACCAGCAGGTTAAAAAGGTCATTGTGAGCATGTGAGTGCTTAATGACAGCCTTGCAGAGCTCCAGTGTGGCTGTGTAGTGTTAATGCTTCAGGTGAGTGTTTTACCTGCGCAGTGGAGCTAGCTGACATGTGCAGCTCCATGGGTTGTTGGAGAGGGTAAGGTTGGTGATGGTGCCAAACTCTAGACTTCTTGGGAGAGACTTTAGCTTGTTGTTGTCCAGGTGCAGCGACCTGACTGCAGTCACACCAGTAAATGCACCATCAGAGAACTAGAAAAAGGCAGAGAGATGCACACAGGTTTTCACATCAACACTTTGAAGAATTCAAATAGGCACAGTGTGCAAATCTCTCTAAAACTACTGTAGTTCTCGCAGCCCCACCACCGACACCCGTCCTTGTGGTTGTTGGAGGGCAGATGGATGCAGAGCGAGGGAATTTCACCAGGGTTTTTCTGGCATGAAAGCGTCCTCTCATCCTTCCCTCTGCACCAGTGCTTAATGTAAACACTGACAGCCACTGCTCTCCTTTTTCCACTTCCACTTCGTATTGATCTGTGAGGGTGCTAAAAGCTTGAAGGAGGTGCTAGGTGAACCGATGTAAGTCATATCAAGCTGTCTCCTCCAGGGAAGAGGAGGGCAGGTGTCAGAGGAGCTGAGCTTTGAAGGATCGTTTTATGAGTCTGAGATGAGGCTGTTTGGAAATTTCCACTGTAGAGCATCAAGCAGCTGAAGGTCTAGTATGTTGAAGCAATGGAAGATGGATGACTTCCAGCATGGCTGAGGCGTTTTCACTCTGTCTTCTCCCTCTTTGGGCTACTTCTTTTCCAAGAAGGCTTGCAAAGGGCCCAATTGTCCATTCAACTGGGACGATGGCAAGCTAAAAATACTCCTTCATGCACTTTGGAACACCCTGCCTCTGTTTACCTGTCTCCTAACCCCTTCTGACTTGTTTACAAGACCCTCCCAGCCAAAGTAGAAAATAACATTTGTGTAATAATTAGACTCGGACATGCTCGGCCACGGTCCAGCAAACAGAAATACTAAGAATACCTAGATTTGGCTAGAAAATGGCTAAATGTGCACTCAGCATCTCCTGCTGCTTTCAGCAGGCTCTCACAAGGTTGTTATTTTACAGTTTTCCCCATTTGGATGCCTTGATAGTGTGCAACAGGCACCCTCAAATACTGAATTGACCTCAGGTATGAAGCAACTGAGCACTCAGGAATGTCTGAAAGGCAGTGTGGTATAGCATAGAGCTTATACTGTATACATTCATACTGAAACTGTGTAAGATCTGCATGAGCAGATGTGTTACAGATGGTTGCTGTGGGACTTAAATTAACTCACTGTTGTTCTGTAATAAGACAAAGATTCTGCTCGTTTTGGCACGGGTCATCTTGCATGACCCAAAGCACACGTGCATGCCAGAGGTGGAGAGATGAAGCATTAGGTTTGCATTAACGGGACTGAAACAGATGGGGGGGCAGTAACACCGGGCAACAAATCACTACATGAAAAGGGTTCAGCCACAGAATTTATGTGTGGTGGTCTTTATGGTGTGTTGACCACTGTCAACCTTGTACATGTAAATATGCTGATGAAACTTGCCAGACCAAAACAAATTAACAAATATTGAGATGAGGATATAAAAACCCTTTCATGACATAACTCTGTTATTCTGCCAAATACTTAATTAACATTAGGAAATTGAATACTTCTGTCTCGTCGTCTTTCTGTAAATCTGACTCCTAAAACCTTTCCAAATTCAGCGTTTTCAACATTTAACAGTGAATTTATGACTTGTCCATTGTGTCCTCTGCATGACTTAATCTTCCGTTACATCAGAAAAGTAGTGAAATACATTAAAACTTTTTGAGACCCCAGAAGGATTTTTTGCTGTGCAGTTATGGTGTCAGTTTAAATTGACACAGCCTTAGCAGATCCCTTTAAGTGCCTGCATGTGAGGCATTACATGTTAGATTCATGCTAATTTCATCTAGTAAACACCCACTAAAACCACAGACTGACCTTCTCCAGACCCATGTTGTCCAGGTGGAGTTTCTCCATGTAGCGTCCAAAGCTCTGGAACGCATTGTCGGGGATGGTCCTCATAGGGTTCCTCCCCAGTGTGAGCTCCTCCACCACACGCAGTTTGCTCATTGCTGCACTGGGATAGGTGGACATCTTGTTCCTGTCCAGGTGAAGTATGGCGAGGTTCTCCAGGTCGTCCAGAGAGGCTGGCTGCAGGGTGGTCAGCTCGTTCCCGCTCATGTGCAACCAGCGCAAGTCTTTGGCACCTGCAAAGATTCCTGGCTGCAGTTCCTGGAGTTTGTTGTCATTGAACTGTAGAACGAAGAGTTTGATCATGGGTGAGAAGATGCCCTTAGCCAGGTTTCTGATGTGGTTCCCATCTAGGTAGAGGTAGGTGAGCTCGCTGAGATCCTCGAAGGCGCCGGGCTTGATGCTGTTGATCTCATTGTTGGACAGGTAGAGGTAGATGAGTTTCTTCAGCCCCTTGAAGGCCTGGGATCCAATCTCTCGGAGATGACAGTGCTGCATGTGCAGAGAGATAAGTCCCTTGCTTTCGCTGAAGGCTCCAGAGGGTATGCTGATCAGGTTGTTCCTCTGCAGGTTCAGCAACCGAGTGGCCTCTGATACTCGAGGGATCTTCTTCAACCCAACGTTGTCACAGATGACGTGCTGAAGGTCACCATGGCAGTGGCATGGGCTCGGGCACTGGCTCAGGGCTCCCTGCACCAGGACCAGGAGGCAGGGCCCGAGCAACATCCAGCTCACACAACGCATCCTGACAGAGTCCTGAATATCACTTGGTCTGCTGCCTTGGTTAGACTGTCTTCAGTCTTTCAACAGAACAAGAACAATCAGAAAATCTGGTAAACGGCCTCTGAGAGAAGCGGGGAAGAACTGCGAGAAGGAGAGAGGACTGAAGTGTGTTTGTGTGTGTTGAGAGAGAAACAGAGAGTAGTGCTAAGGTGGGCAGGGCAGAGAGACGTTCACTTTGAGAGGAGGATGGCCAGTCAACAGTACACTCAGCACTATTTATACTCATACTTATACTATTTACACTCACTTGAGGGGGAAAAAAAATGAGGAGGGCTTGCCAGGGTGTTGGAGCGAGAGGTTTGCAAGTGAAGGCATCAGTGAGAATTTAACCCTGAATGAGTAGGAAAACCACACTGGACCACTCATTCTCTTTGCTGCTGGCATCATTTTTACAGGACTTTGAGTGTGAACAGACAGTCAGCTTGCAGGATGCACATGTCCAGACAGAAAATAAGAAAAGACACTTGCTCTGCACTGGCTTCATTTGTTGTTGTTTTTTCTTTAAAAAGACCTCAGTAACTTCCAGGTGAATGTTGAACGTGGCCAGAGGTCAGGTTTGATTTGTGCCCAGACACCTTGTTTTTCCGTCTGCGGCGGCAGGAGAAGGAGCCACTCCTGTGCAGCTGTTTTATAACCTAGATAGTCTCCAGATGTTTGGCAAGAAGCGAGATGCTGTTTCATGTCATTACAGTTGCAAATGATACTTCTAGCATCCAAGGACTAAAAGCTTTAGATACCACTGTACATTCCTGCATGTGTTCTTCCTTTGGAGAAAGGAGCACGGCGTTGCGGTCTTTTTCAGACAGAGCTGTGAATTGTTCCTGTGACTGTGATCTGTTGCTTGCAAGACAATTGAAAAAGATCTGAGAACAGGGCTTTGTTTTGGTGTTCATTACACCTGCTTGTAATAATAAAGTAAGATTTAGAAAAGAAGGAGCTGGATGTTGTTGACTGGCTCTGGTCAGATGATGGTTTGGCTTCACGTGGGTGTATTTATGAGATGGATGGGCCCACCCTGGATAAATGGAATCTAGTGTTTACTTAACAAATCTAGCATTTTATTGGCAATGTTGCCTCCTCCCTCACCATAACCACCACTAAACTGCACTGCAGGTTCTGATCGCCCAGCGGACCTTTGCACCCTTGAGCCCTGAACAGTTTATTTTATGCTCTTGATTAGATTTTATTTGTAGAATTTTTTTTTGTATGACCTTGTTTCTTGCTGAATGTAAAATTACAATCAGTAAAGCAACTCCAGCTTTTTATTCAAGTTATTCCAGCACCTTTATTTTCCTCTGATGTGTTGTGTGGCTGACAGATTGTATACGGCACCACAGAGAACAGCCCCGTGACGTTTGGCGGCTGGCCCTTAGACAACATGGAGAGGAAGTCGGAGACCGTTGGGTACATCATGGATCATACAGAGGTGCCTCAGCATGCTATTTTCATCACAGAAAACTAAAGCTACATTCACACTGCATGTTTGTGAGTAAACAGTGCAATTTGATGGTCGCACAAACGACCTTGCTATTCATGTACGCACATAACTCACGTTTCAGTTTGTAACTCAGTGGTGTTCACTTACACACATGGATGTGATCCATCAACAGAAAAAGTCAGATTTGCCAAATGGATTGAGCATCAATACCTGTGATGCGAGTATAGCTTTAAACATAATGCTAAATCATAATTTTCCTTAATCATTTTGTCTAGTAAGCTAAACCTGCTGAAACACCATCATTAGCATCGAAAAAGGAACCGTTACTTTATCAGCAGGTATTTTAAATTGCATAGTATTTTTTGAAGAAAGAGGCACAGCTACTGTATGTTACTGTGTAAAAAAAATGGCCTAATATCAGTTAATCTTAATTGCTGACTGGAATCAATAATATGAATTATCTCCTCCACAGGCTAAAATAGTGAACCCTCAGACTGGAGCGCTTGTGCCACTGGGAGCAGTGGGGGAGATAATGATCCGAGGATACTGTGTGATGCTGGAGTACTGGGACGACGAGGCCAAAACAAAGGAGTGCATCACTAAAGATGGCTGGTACAAAACCGGGTGAGTGAAGCTGTCAGGTATTGACACAACCGGAAATAATCAAGTGAATATGAATATTACAAGAATATGATTAGTAAATATGCAGGATTTTATTTTTGTTTTAATGACAGAAAAAAATGTAAACAACCACAGGGAAATAAGAAATACAGTGAAGCAAAGATTTATGATTTAGTTAAAAGGCTGATGCTGAGTTTTTTTCCATCCACTTGCTGATGCGTTTACTGTTCCTGGGATTTCTTGTCATATTCACCATTCAGAGACATGGGTAGCATGGATGCATACAGCTACTGTAAAATCGAGGGCCGGATTAAAGACATGATCATCAGAGGAGGAGAGAACATTTACCCGGCGGAGATCGAACAGTTCCTGCACACACACCCCAAAGTGAAGGAGGCACAGGTGAGCTTGAACCGCACAGGTCGTTTTATGTAGTTATGGTTGTGGAGAAAGGATGTGCACACTCAGGTCTGATGTGTTTACAACCATAAAGTCAGACATGGGTCCAGCTGATCCAGCACTGGGATGTTAAATTGTTTTCTGAAGTATATTTTAGCATATTAAAAGCTTGTACATATATTTTGTCTGTCAGATTGATGAAAATTTGTTTTTAGTTTTCTAATGATGAGGTATTTGCTTCAAATTGGACAAGTGGATAGAGGGAGCCTGGCTCACCAGGGGGGGCTGCACATCCTTCCCAACACACGTGCTCACAACCTCCTCACCCCCCAAAAGATGGCATTAGAAAATGAATTTCAAACATCCTATTTTGCATTGTTTGTTTTTTCACATACATTTCTAAAGGGAAGAGGCATTTTCTAAATATTTTCCATAGAAGTTCACGGTTGATGTCTTGACCTCAGCCACAGAGACACTTGGTTTTTTACACAGAACTTTAATTGATAAGTGAAAGAAACACTCTTTGGCATCTAATACTTGGAACCAGACCAGTGTGTGCACAGCTGTTACTCTTCATGCACCGGTAGCTTTGTATCATGGATGCAGTAATATGCTCATAAATATTGTTTATTTAATCACTGAGAACATCTTCTGCTGACAGTGTCCTGAGTGTTGTGTGTTCCAGTAACAACGACTTCTCTCACTGTTCCTGCACAGCTTCATGTTTTCTCTCTCTCTGATTATCAGGTGGTTGGAGTTAAGGATGCACGTATGGGTGAAGAGATCTGTGCCTGTATCAAACTGGTAGATGGGCAGGAGTGCACAATGGAGGAAATCAATGCCTACTGCAAGGGACAGGTGAGGCACAGCTCCCTTGTTTAAGATTTCATAATGAGCTCAAAGTATTCTTCATTTTCTTCAGTCAGTTTGGACACCTCTGCTCACTAACTCCATCTTCTTTCAGATTGCTCACTTCAAGATCCCTCGCTACATTCTTTTTGTAACCAGCTACCCGCTCACTGTTACTGGAAAGGTAATTTCCCAAATTACTGCATATAGCTTCCAAGATTTGTCTAAATCGATTTACTGAGATGACATGCATTCAGAGTAAAGAAAAAACAGGTCTGTGATCAGTGGCTGCTGTAGTAGTCAGACGGATTACACATGGGCGAAGTCCAACATGAAACCGTGAATCTCCTCTCGGTCTCGTTTCTCTCATGGGCTGCTTGGTAAAATAGTTCACTGCAGATGTGTTGTTTTTGAACAGGCCGGCCCTGAAGGGAGCTGGCGTCCTCCTTGCCGTAGAATTTGTGAAGTACCTTGCTAGGCGGATAGCATTAAGGGCCCAAGCTGACGCTGTGCCCTGACAGTGAATCGAACCCCAACTTGCCATACCAAAGTCAGTGGTGTTAACCACTAAGCTATACATCTGCTGGATAGGTACACATTTAGAACATTTTCATTGTTACATGAGACTGTGGTTGCACAGGGATCTATATCTCACACTCAAAACAATTTATCATGCAGCCCCAATATCTATTTCAGTAGACTTCTTACAGTGGGTACCAGGGGATGTACAGTTTCAGTTCAGTTGGACCTAATAAAGTTGCTTGTCAGTGTATCAAACAGGTCAACATACTACTGCACAGTGGCACAAAAATCCTGTAAAATAACTTTTGTGATAAAGCTGTCCCGCTTAATTTTCCCTCTCCTCTCAGATCCAGAAGCACAAACTCCGAGAGGAGGTTGAGAAGCAGCTGGGACTGAAGAAGGACAAATGAGAGCCTCTCATTTGTATGGAGAGATCTGTTATTGTCTATATACTCAGCCATCAGAACCACTTTGTCCAAAGACAGCCCAAGCTGTGTAGATGTGCGATGGTGTTCTGAGCCAAATGGGTGTCTGCATCCTCCTGTAACCACGTTAAAGGGATTTAAGGGTATGTTTAGTCATTATGTGCTTTTTTTTCTGACAACTAATCACACAAAAGACCAAACCCAACAACAAAGTGATCCAATTAATAAGCACTGTAGTGCCAGCACATACTCTGAATACTAGAGCACCAAGTGTATACTACTCTGCAGCTGACAACAGACCCACCACGTGCACTATTCACCCTTTTTTGAGTAATGTTTATTAAAAAAAAAAAAAAAAACTATATGTTGGTAATGGGTTTTCTGTTTTAAAGGGTCACATGTTCACTAGGAACCACTGGGTGAAGTTGCAAAGTATTTACAGACAGATTCTTTTTGATGTAGGTCCTTTCCTGGGATTTGTTGACAGAAACGCAAGCTTTGTCATTTAAAGGCTAAGGACAGTAGACTTCTCTGGTTTTCTCATTTTTCCCACAAAACCCACCTACAGACTAAACCCAACAACGAATGTGGTGTGTGTGAATCCAGAACCGGGTTTAGCTTGTCGGTCTGTGCCATAGGTCTCCACTGTGTCTAAAGCCATTAAACACACGCAGCACTGAGCCACACCGCTGCACCAGGTGACATGTTTCTTCCTCAGGAAACATGTGAGGTCATCTTTTTCCAGCAAACAGCTCCAAAGGCTGAGAACGGCCATCACTTTGTACACTGTCTGAAAGAAGAGTCAACTGTGCTATAGACAACGCAAGCAGCTAGTGGAGCAGCGTAAACACAGCAGAGATCAGTTGCCTCTTCTTTCAGACACTGTACAAGGTGACGGCCATTCTCAGTCTTTGTTGGAAAAAAGATGACCTCATATGTTTCCTAAGGAAGAAATATGTCACCTGGTGCGGCGGAGGTCTGTGGAACAGACTGACAAGCTAAACACATTATGCTGAGCACATCGCATCCACTGTTGAGTTTAGTCCCCGGATGGGATTTGTGGAAAATAAACCTACAATTCCCAACAAACACCCCAGTGTTTACTTATATACAGTAGATGTGACAGATGTGAGTCAACATTTAAAAGAGCGGAAGTCCCATGAGGCCTCTCACACATACCTCTACAGTCCACTGAAGATCAGTGCTGAATGTGAACCCTTCAGTCCTCCTCCATTTCTGTTATCCTGCAGAAAGATAGAAATGTTTTTTACATCAATGAAATAAACTATGTTCCACTTTATTAAAACCAGCTGTGGGTGTTTCTGCCTGTATGGGAAGAATGAAGGTATTTTTAGACGCCATTAAACACACACACTCAAAGTGGTAAAGAAATTCCTTTCAAGTCTGACCGGGCTACATGTGCAGCCCACCTGATGCTGGGCTGCAGGATTGGGTGTCATCTCCTGTCTAGACCTGAAGGACTCAGCCCAGAAATAGCTCTAAGGAGCCCAGAAGAAAACAAATGGTGCTCCTGGCTTTTAACAGTGAACCTCAATTTTTTAGCAATTTATATTTGACTATAACATTTCAGGACATGAATGGCATTCTTAAAACTAAGCAAAGAAGTCAACCTGTTATTTCACAGCAAGAGATATGTGAATTGTTAGGACAACAGCTAGTAACAGTTATACTACAGAGAGCGAGTCAGGTTTTGCCAGCAACACTTAGTCACTTCTCTCTGAACATAAGACCTTATTGCCAAATAGTTTGAAAGTTAACAAAATTAGCCCTTTACTTCAGCCGAAACCGTCCCTCATGCGGTGAGAAAAAGCACCTGACCTAAACTGAAACAGCTGCTCTAACATGCACTTTGATGGGAAAGGCAGAACAGCAGCCAGTATCCACAGGTTAAGTCCACATGTGAGGGACTGAAGCTGCAAGAAGGGAATAAGGTCATAACTCAGGTGTCCCTAAAGCACACAGAGCATGCTGTGCTGACTGGCTCAACTTACATTAAAATGTATGCTCTGTTTGAATAAATCCAGCTTGGAGCTGCTGTGCAGTTATTTGTTTCATTGTATACAATTACTTTTTCTTCAATTTGTGACCAGATTATTGTGGTAGCCGCTCCTACCTCGCTCTGCTGCAGCAACCTTTACACTTTCCTGTCTTTTAAATGTGGACTACATGACAGAACTTGTTGGCATGTTTTCAGATCCCTATGTGGACAAATAAGGAAAACCCTAACGCTACATCATTTAATAATAAACTACAGTTTTGAGGCAACACTTTGTTTCTCCTGGTGCATTTTCAACATGACAAGCCCCCCCTCCCCCGCACAGTCAGCTCCATAAACAAATGGTTTCCCAGTTTGGTGTGGAAGAATCTGATAGCAACATCTGATAAAAATTCTTCATAATCACATGTGGGTGTAACATAACAGAGCTGTCCACATACTTTTGCCTACCTGGTATACTATATCTGCTACACAAACAAATCTCAGCTGTACCTTCATCCTTGGGCAGTGGGATGCCGATGGCCGTCTGCTGTCCCTGCATCTGCTGCTCCACTTGGGCCACCTGCTCCTCGGTGCAGCACTCCTGCAGAAACACAATGGCCAGGTTGCGCAGGCGGGGGCTCTCTGCAAGGGAGAAGCGCAGCATGCACTGCAGGATGGCCGGGTCAGTGATCTGAGAGCGGGATGAGGGTGTTGTTAGATTCATGAGCGTGGTGATGGCTGACAGGACGGTCTCTTCCCTCTGGTTGGACAGACAGTTAGTGACCAAGTTGATCCCACTGCTCTGCAGGATGATGTCCCGGCATTCGGGGTCCATACTGAGGTTACACAGCCCCCCTGAGAGTATGACACGAGAGAAGAGATGAACAACAAGGCAGGATGACAGGTTCAGATCAAGAGGCAAAACTCTGGTTGAGAGAAGAGGAGTTGCAGTTTTTGCTGGCATGATACTCACCCATCCCAAACTCCACAAAGTTCTCGTTCTCCTCAGTCAACATGTCCAGGAAGAGGTCAGGGACCTGTAGCTGACTCAGATACTCCATGTTCTTCGGGTCATATGCAAAGTTGGCCAGGTTAGCCAACACCTGCTCCTTTGCCTCTGATTGAATGACAAAAGTTCTGTAAGGAACTTAAAAATAACTATTGAAACAAATCCACATAAATTAAAGCCTAATCAATAAAGCAGCCAGTTGATAATATTAGCTCATGATGGACTGTCCAGGCCAAAAAGTAACAAGAGGTTTCAATACAGAATTGCAAAGGACACATTTGAGATCATTAAAAAAAAAAGCACCACCATTACATGTGTTGGCCACAAGACGTGCTGACAAGATTTTATTAAAATATGAGACCACATGAGCGGGACAAAAGCATTACTAGATCTGTGAACGTTTAAATATCAATAGTGGTGTCATTCTTCAACAGTGGGTGGAACTAACAAAGAACAGCAGAAAATAAACATGTTTCTAAGAACATTGATCATATAGGTGAATCAACACCTCTGAAAAACTAAACTTTATCACTTTCATGCACGACTGGTGGATTTGACTGACTTAATTTTAGCTGGGTATACCTAATGAGCCAACAACCGAGTGTACAGCTAGTCAAGTGCTGAAAATTTTTTAGAAGTAGGCATCTGGACGTACGTTTCACCGCTCATCCAAGAGGCTTCATCAGTTCTGCCCGACTGGAGGTATTTATCCCACTGGGTGGTGTTTCACAGCAGCAGGGAGGAACCAGAAACAGAAGGAGATAACACTATCATCCCTTATGTGGCTGGTTTATCAGAACTACGTCCAGATGCCTTCTAAGTTTTTTTCAGCGTACTACGACCTGGACGACTGAGAATTTGCACGGACGGCTAGTCGAGTGTTAGCCTAGTTTAAAAGTTTTCAATTTATGATTGACAGCAGCTTCTAATCCCGTGTATAGCTGCAAAGATTAGATGATCAACAGAAAAACTATACTGCTAACTTTTTTGCAAAATTTTCTGCTTCGTACATGTGAATTATTTTTTATTCCTATGATCCTATTCCTAGTATCTTTTGGTTTTGGGCTCTTTAATGAACAAAACATGTGACGACGTTTCCTTTGGACTTTTTGAAACTGGGGTGGATATTTCTCACTATTTTATTGAACGGCTGAGATCAATCGTTAGCTGCAGTGATGGATGCTAACAAACTAGCATTTGTTTGCATTACGGATTGTTCCTTTAAATAATAAAAAGGCAATTGTTATGTTAATATAAATACCTACGAAGATTCAAGGGGGTTATGGGAACTCCATTTACTTTTTAAATCTTTAAAAATAAGTGAATAATGGATAATAAAACTGCACCAAAAACCACCTTCGCTGTCGGTGTCCTGGAATTCAGTGACCAGAGTTTGTAGATATTCAAAGCGGTCGCAGCCTTCAACCGAGCCTTTCTGCGACATCTTTAGCATTAGCTCAACTTTAAATGCTTACAAATGGATAACTGAACGAACAAACCGCTAAGTTAACAAAATAACTGCGATTTTGTTCATTTCATACACCCGTGATCTATTTTCATTCACTTTCCGGTTTAGTCCATCTCTAAAATGTGTCCGTAGAACTGTTTATAGAAGTAAGATTCCGCGTAAACATTATCAGTTTCAAAATCATTTGTGATATTACGTAAAACTCAGTTAAAATCACTGTTATATATGCAAAACGTAGTGTATATTCTGCTTGGGTGGATAAAAATCGGCTACGTTGTCTTTGGGGTTGTTTTGGTTCATAATGTTTGCACACGGAAGTAGTAGTACGTCACATAAACCATTAAAAGTTAGATCAGATTCCAGCAGTTCTTTATTGAGTAATTCGATACATTCAGTAAAACTCAAGGCAGGACATAATACTTGAAATAATTTGTATGATATTCAGATGTCAGAGGGCCGGACGAGATATTAGGCTAGTTTGGATTCCAGCACACTGTAAATTCTTACATTTATCCTAATCTATTTGGTAACAACGTGTGCAGTTTTTGTGAAATCGGTCCTCATTAAAATGCACATTTATGCAAATTCATATTAGACCATCTGCTCTATAAGAATAGAGTTTCGGCTTTGAATTATTCCAGACTTACTGTGTTCAAAAGCATGTCTATTGCAGAGTCACACACAGCAGCATGAACATAATGTCCCATCTAGGCTACCGTAGTAACGGGACATAAAAAGGCTTTAGGTTTTAATATTTCTTGAAGTGAATTAGTGTTAATTTGACGTAGGGTCTTCTAATGATAGTTTTCCATGTTTCTCTCTCTGACTGAAATTCAGTTTGATGACATTTGCAATGGCTGATATCTCTTTAATTTACAGCTGGTAAATCTTTTTTCCAGGTGGGATTCACTACATTAATAATGCAGTGTTTTAAGTTTGTTTATTTTTTTTTATCTTTGAGTTAATTTAAGAAGCTGATTCACTCTATTATGCCTTTTGTCCTTGACAGATTGAATGTGGAAAATCGTGGAGAATCGTACATTACCCTACATATCTTACTGTAAATATCAATTGTACACATCTGTTGGTAAATTAGTTCTGACTGTACAGACTGTAGATACTGTGCACTCTCCACTGCTATTACTGCACTTCTGGTTAGATGCTAAACTGCATTTCGTTGCCTTGTACTTGTACATGGGTAATGACAATAAAATTGAATCTAATCTAATCTAAAAACCACAAGACAAGAAGGGGGCACATTAGACACTCTCTCTGGAATTTGTCACTTCATTCAAAAACCGGTCATCTTATCATAATAACAAGGACATTTTCTGATTCCTCACAATTTTCTCTACCGTTTTCATGTTTAACTTGATAATATAATGTGAACGGAGTGAGGTTATTTTGTTATAGTGGTTGGTAGGGGCCGTTTTGATCCACACTCCAGTCTAGAAGGTGGCGGTAATGCTGCTTGCCAAACGCCATTAAACAACAGAAGAAGAACACGATGAAGACGGAGAAGAAGGAGTAGCAGTAGCAGTACGTGAGTAATTGCGATGCCGGAAGCTGGAGGTGTGTATTAAAGTGAGCCGTTAGCTGATGGTCACTAAAAGGTCGAATAGAGCTCGCGTTGACTAGTTTTCTATTTATATTTCCGTTATAATGAAACAACACAGACTGTCCGCGTCAAAGCGTCTGGCCAAACCACTTTTGTTCGGGACGGTCATTGCTGGACTAACTATCGCTTTCATAAACAGGTAGGCTTTGTTGCACGTTTGTGTTTTTGATTGCATCGTAATTGTCTTATAGAAATGTTGAATACATAACGTTAAAAGCTCTATTGTCTCCTGCATGCTGACAGTAAAATACAAACATAGTTAACATTCAGCAGCTTCATACAAGGCGCGTTATTGTGCATGAAAACATTAAGTTGTGTAAAATATATGCAAAACAAAATTATATAGAGTTATATGGTATATGTAAGTGATATAGTATCAGTGGTGGAAGAAGTTCCCTTTGTCAAGTAAAAGTACCAACACTTGTATCTAAAAATACTTCATTATAAGTTCAGGTCCCTCCACTCCAAATTAAAAAAGTAAAAGTACAATCAGAAAACTTTTCTTAAAATTTCAGACTGTGATACTGGGATATTTGGCATCTTTATTTATGACTAAAGCTGTTAATTTATCAAAACAGCTGTTTATTTTATGTCACTTATTTGTTTCAGCTTTAGTAAATAGCAATTTGTGATATATTATGTGAAATATTACAAATAATGTGCTAAATGGATTTCCTCATCTTATTTGAAATGTAAAATGCACTGGAAAAGGCCGTGGGTGTGGCTTACACTGGTTACTGCTGTCTATTCCTGAATATAATGCTTCCCCCTTCTTGCAGACACAGGTTCTTTGAGGATGTGGCCAAGCTCAGGGCGCAGGAGCAAGCACGCAACGATGCCAAGAGGATCGAGATCCTGGAGAGGAGGCAGAGGCAAATAGAGCAGGTGGCTGAATGGAAGAGAGGAGGGGGCTGAACTGTTTCAACACAAAATGTTGATCATGTTGAGCCGGCTACAGATATGGAAACTACACATATCCTGCTGTACATAGCCTGATTGTCTTGCGTAGAAACAACCTAGGTTAAATCCCCGGCTGTCTTCTACCAGTGGATTCACTGATCCTCACACATCGGCTTCCAGTAAACACAAGTGGAGACTTCTGTGCTGCAAGAATCCAAACTCTTTGTACTTTGGATGAATTTTGGATAATTCACGCAGATGCAATCTACTATTTTGTGTCTGTTTTGAGATATGATTATTAATGATAAAATTACTTAAGTGCTGAAAGTGAAAGGAAAATAAGCCCCTTTTTCTTGTATCTACTTGTTTGTCCAACAGAGGGCAGTGTTGTTTCTAACAAAGGTTTTATAGTAGGTCCTTATCATGTGCTTTACATGTTTGCTGACTTTCAAATGCAGCCATAGAGTTGTAGATCTTCAGGTTTTTCCTTTTGTTGGTTTCCATTCATTTCCATTAGGCCTATAAATCACAGAGCTGACCCTTTAAGCTTGCTTGAGTTATCTAGTCTGTATTAATTTTTGTCGGTCATATATTTCAGGTCTGGAGTGGGCAAGATTCAAGAGAGTTGATTTATTTTCATGTCATACAAACATTAATTCACATGGATGGCTGCCCGTAAAAAATACAGAAAATCAATCAATTTATCATTTTCAAACTAAATTAATTCTTGAGTATGACTGCTTGCTTTTTGTTCTGTTTTCTATTATTTATAAATTGAATATATTTGAGTTTTTGACCTTTTGTCAGACAAAACAAATTTGAAGACATCACCGTAGCTCTGAAAACCTGCTTTACACAACTGATTTTAAAAATTTAAAAAAAAGGTAATTCTCATCATCGATTAATCTGCTGATTATTCTTTTGTTTTGGATCAGAAGACTTTTGACAACTTCAGATGTCTTGTCCAACAGTTCAAACCCAAAGATATTTAATTTACAACATGAAACAGAGAAAACAAGTATTCACGTTTTCAAACATTGAGTTTTTGTTTGAAAATGACTGAAATGATTATCAGAATAGTTGTCGATTAATTTTCTGTGGACTGACTCATCTAATCATTGCAGCTCTAATTTCCCCACAGTACGAACTGATGTGATGTTACTTATGTAAATTGGTGGAGTATTATTACATTTTTTTAAATTAAAACATGCCATAGAAGAAAGATGAAATAAATTAAACCCTCAAACATTAACAATATTGCACTTGAATGAAAATGAAAAATGTGACAGATTTAAGTTCACACAAAGTCAAAGTGCTTTACTTACTTACTGTGTATTGTACTGTACTGAAAATGTCTTGTGTACTTAAATATGCCAGATTTTATGTGGTAGCAGTGCTTAACTGGCTGACAGTAACAATCAATATGACCAATACTGTACGCATCAGGTCACATGGTTCAGATGTTAGATGGTGTTTTGGACTCACTACAATGACACAAAGACTCCCCGATCCCTTTGTTGCTGACTGAAACTAAATTTCAAGCACAACCAGATAACGGTACAAATCACCTGCATCCTGACCGAGACACTGGGGGCAACGCTGAAAATATTTTGAAACATCACTAATTGGTGGAGACATGTGGTGCATAATTATTCAGGACATCTGCACAAGTGTCCACCCATTAGACCTTTTAGTTTCCATTCGCAGGTGCAGCAGTGGATGTGAGTGCACTCAACTGGTGCCTTAATTGAAGTTATTGCTGATGAAAGTTGTTGCAAAATGCTCTTCATTTTAAGCGTCATCAGAATGTTTTCAGATGAACTGTTGCACTCTTCGGACAAACTGAGGGAGAAGCTCAAGGAATCTTTAAACACGTGAAGAGCAGACAGGACTTGACCGTGAGTAAACAGCAGAAGCAGTAACACACAGAATGTACAGACGGACCCACGAGCAGGAGCGAAGCACAAGTGTCGAGTCAGAACAACAGCCACAGAGAGAAGATGAGGACAACAAAGTTTTACAGTACTGTGTTCCCTCTTTGTCTGGACTCTTCTCTTCTTAGATTAAATTTTTTTGTTACCATCACACAGCAAGGGGCACTAATCCTGGAGAGGAGGCAGCAGGAGGGGCGGTGATGGCTGTCAGGGAACCGGGCTCCAGTCCATTTATGGTGTTTCTGCAAAAAAAACCCAAAACAGTCACATAAAAAAAAAAAAAAGATTGTTCCTGTCCTTGTTATCCTATCCTAACACTGGCTCCATCTCACACAGAGACTCGAGGGTGACTAGGCAGAGAGGTCAGGTTAACCAAAAACACCAGGACTATGCAGGAAATGGGAAGGAAGTTGGAGAGTTAGTCTGAATGACAGGTTCAACTGGTTTGTTGTGTGGTCATAGTTGGGCTCTGTTTATCTGGTTTGGGCCTGGCTCACAACTCTGAAAAGCACCAGAGTACAATGAGCAACTTCAGTACATGCTTCAAAGCAAACTCTCCAGCCAAGGCTGGGAGTCGTCTGCAAAATGTCTGTACCGAGTTTCGGCAGCAGCATCAGAGCATTTTCTCTTCTTGTGATTCCTTAGTTCAGACAAGAAAAATATATTTGAATCTTTTTTCATCATTTATCAGAACATACCAAGGTACTCCATGCATCAGTGTTATACAGAGCTTCCCCTTAATAAAATATAAAGTTCAAAATGAGGCAAACTCCTCACACTTGACATTCATTGATTAGATCATCATGTTTTGTTCTTTTACAACAATGTCCCCCTCTTTTCCAGCTCTGCCTGAAGGTGATTTGTGATCAGCAGCTCCCTGCACTGAAACCAGAAGGACAGTGACCTTTGTGGTTGTACAGTTTAACTGTGGCTGTAATTCATACTAAGGCGGGGATGAAAAAATTCCCTTGTGCACACTTTGGACGGGATTAAAATCACTGGCCAGTGCAGATAATGTCCCCAAGTAACATGAATGAAGTTTCTATTCTTTAGAACTTAAGAAAATAATTCCTGTAAACTCCACAAAACAGCAGCAAAGCAAAGAACTGTCATTAGAATTAATGGTGAAACAACTCACACTAGTACAAAAGAACATGTTTTGGGTCAGATTAGCAGGAACCTTCCAGCACCAACAGCCCACCACCACCCCTGAACAGTAAGACATCCTCTCACCCAGTCAAGATTATTTCTATTAGTTCTACACGGACAAAGAGGTCTATTAAAATCAGCAGCAGCATGCACACACTCAGGTAACAGGAGCTGCAATTACCCAGAATCAATGCAGGGAACGTGACCATCTCTGTCCTGCTGGGAAAAAATGCACACAGATCTCAGACTCTTCTTCATACCCCCTCCTACTTACACACATCATCTTTTCCCGTAAATACACATCCAGTAAACACAGCAGACAAGAATCAAGTCATGACATTACACCACAAGATCCTTGTCATAAATTATCCCTGTCTAATGACTAAGAAATGAAATGTGGCAAAAGCAGGTAGTCCATGCAGATTCTCAGTCATCCAGGTCATAGTCAAAGGACTGAAACACCACCGATGGGGATAAATATCTCCAGCTCAACGTCACTTGGGCAGAACTGATGAAGCCTCTTGGATGAGAGGTGAAACGTCTTCGACCTAAGAACCTAGTCCAGTTGAATTTTTTTTCTAAGTTTTTCAACAAAAGGAGGTAGGTTTTGGTTTCACTTACGCTTTGTCAAAATACGATGTATGTAGCAACTGCGAGTACTTGGCTGTGTTTGCGTTGAGCGCATTGCTGTTGTCGAGAGCACACGCCTTCCTGGCTTTCTGGTCCTTGGCAAAGTTCCTGCAAGCAGCGAGTTTAGACTCCAGAGCCTGTGGGGAGACATAAACAGGAGGTGATGCTGCTTCTCCTTCGCTGCGGAACAGCAGGGACTTCCTAAATAAAGCTTATGATGTAGTGGAAGAGAACAGGAGACCTGGTACAGAAATACAGGAATTGAGACAGAATGACTCACCCCGACTTTCCGGAGTAAATCACTGACGATGTTGAGGGCTGATATTCTGGCAGAGGGAGTCAGCGGCGAGTTGCTGCCATAGCCATTTGGCAGTACTGGATAGGAGAGAGGAACAAACAAGATTAAATAGATGTTTTAATTTAAATTCAGTAAACATTCAGTCAGCAAATCACAATTTCAGATATTTATGAATCAATGTCACATCTATGCTTTTTGCAGCTATAAAATGTGAACAAATTGCATTGTGGGAGCAGAAAGTAGCCTACTCAGAATTTGACACTCGAAATCAGCTAAAGCTACTCTACCGAATGTCTTTTCAGCCTAGACAGTTCAGTGCAGCTCAAACATAATCCGCTCTTTGCCCCTATCATCCATCCTATTTTCTAGGGACGGATGATGCAAACTATGGATGCCTGTTTGGGACAAACTGTACAAAATGCAGCTAGCGTTAGCTGGCTAACAGTAAATGTGTTAGCTGAGAGACGCCGTGGCCACTGTCACTGGGTTTATCAGACTGTGTGTGTAACATCTTAGTTAATGCATCTTTAACCTGCCACGTCTGTGCGTGACACTGGATTTTGCTAGTGGAGGAGCACACATTTGCCTCCTCTTCGGGCGAGTTTTTTTCCATCAGACTGGCTAATTTTATTTCACAAATCATTAATCATGGAGCCACTTGACACTTTGTTCCTGACAGGTAGCTATGTCTTTACATGAAAATAAAAACGGTAGAATTGAGGGTGTGTTAATTAAGAGAATTTCCCTGCCTGTACTTGTATAACAAGAAAAACAAAAAACACCCCGGGGAGGCAGCTATTGTACCTGTTGGGTTGGCAAAGGCGTTGTCTAGACCTTTGCTCAGCGGGGTAGCAGGGAGTGAGAGTGAGGCCTGCACAGCAGTGTCCATCTTCACATTGTCCTGCGTGGGTGAACTTGGAGCAGACATCCTGCTTACATCTGACTGCCGCTCTCGCACGGCCAGCTCCTGCCGCAAGTCTGCAGAAAATAAGTGATAAAGAGCTTTGCTGATGACACAAACCAAAGAAATTCCCACAAATCTTGTGAGAAAGCAGATGTTTTAAACATTACAGCTCATCATGAAGAAGCGGTGACTGACAGCGAGGCTCATTTGTAAAAACCAAGTCAATAATCACCTCTGGCTTCATCCTTTAACCTCTGCACAGAAACCAGAAGAGACTCCTTCTCATCCAGCTCACTCTCCAGGAAGGCGTTCCTCTCGATGGCCTGGTTCAGACGCTGCTCGAAGTTCTCCAGAGACACAATAGTAGCTCTGACAAAGAAGTTAAAGGAGACAGACAATGAAGTTAGCAACACAGAAACTGAGAAAGACAAAACTCAACAAACTCCAAAAAGAACATTTCATTCAGTACACTGGTATGAAATCAAGTTGAAACCAAAAAGATGAGAATGACCTAAATGATGTACAGGAGTAAACTGAGGATGTGATGTTTTAAAGTGTCATTAGCGAGCATTCAGTGCTCACACAGACCTTTTGGCTCTTTCTAAGTCGTCGTTGGACTGTTCGAGCTCTCGGACGTATTTGTGCAGCTGCTCCTTGATGCTGCGGGTCTGGCCGAGGTCGGCCTCCAGCAGGGAGATCTGCTTGTAGCTCTGGGAGTACTGTTGCTCCAGCTTCTCCTGGAGGAGGAACACACAGGATAGGAGAGCTTCATATTGAACACGATTTAACAGCACCTAGATTTGGCCATCCATTTCTCAGTGTTCGCCCTCGCCGCTGTCAGGCTGTGAAAGCGTGGCCTATATATGTGAGGCAACCAGCTTGATGAGTACCACGGGGCCTGTCTGTATGTCTGACCTATATCTGCTGTGGTGTCTGGATCGGTCACAGGCAGCCAGACGAAGCCTGAGCGGTGCATTCAGCACATCCCGTTAACATGACAGTGAAGATGCCATGACGCTCTGCATACGGGGGGCCTTGAGGTGTGAGTACTTGTCTGGAAAAGTAAAACCTGGCAGTCTTCGCGCAAACATCATATCCATGCTGGAGACGTGGACTCGGTAATGTGCCACCTGCCTTTTTTGTAATTATGGAGTGAGAATCAGAATGAGAGACACAACCTGATGCATTATTTATGAGAGCCATGCAGATCAGCTGCATCAGTGTACGGCCGGCTGGGGAGAGGCTGACTGCTGAGACTGGAAGACAGACGTACCTCAGCACCTTCCCAAAGAGAGATTACCATTTAGATTGCACACAGCTTCACAACGTCCACTCCTCACTGAGGCCAATAAACCCCACTACAGCTATGTGAGTTAATGAGACAGTGTGATACTGTTCTTCCAGAGGGCCACTTACTGCATCACCCTTTATTTTGGTGTGCATGGGATAAGGTTTTATTACAAGCCCCTGGAGGCGTTATCTCAGTATAACCACAGACACAAAGCTGCAGGCCCACTAGATAAATCAACCAAATCCCGAGCACATCCAGGGAAGCAGCAGCTGTGTGACTTTACTTCTCCTCATTCCCAAGAGACTGCACTCAAGGACGAGTAATGACATCAGGTAGCTACTAAAAAAAGCATCAAATATGTATGTCAAGGGCACACACAGAGACATGCTGTATTTGCTCAACTCAGAGATTAACCAGGACTCAGCCACCTCAACAACAGACTGGACTGAAATGTAACACGGAGGCTGTTTCCAGGCAGGGAGATCTAAAACTAAGTGGTGAGCTGGAAAACCTGCACTGATAAAGCCTGTTATACTGATGAGGAGGCAACAATCATTCCATTTATTTCCTGTCAGCGTACACCTACACTTACCTTGAGTGTTTCCACCTCGTTCTTGAGTCTGTGGTTCTCAGACTGCAGGTCCTTCATGCGATGCTCGGCCTGTCCCAGCTGTGCTTCCAGCTCAGCCTCCAGCTCCCTGCTCCCCTCCTGAAACTCCAACAGCTCCTCCTGAGCCTCCTGGCACCTGTGGGCACACAGAGGAAATTCTTTATCTCTTTGTGGAGCTGGTTTTGTGCATGAGGAGCACAGCTTTGACATCTCTTTATATGCTGTGTCATTTATTTTAGACTTAAGGTCTTGGCCAAACCGTGAACTAGAACCCCAGACCCAAAGTACACAAAATATGTGCACAGGTGCATCTGCATACTTTTGAACATGAAGTGTAAAAGGCCAAAGACAATATCTAATTTATGTTCATCTGAAGCTATAAAATGTAAAACAGTGATATTTTTAAAATTAAGAAAAACACACAACATGCTGTAATTTTACCTCACACTGTCCAGTTACAGTTTTAATGTGAATGTGTGTGGTTCAAAAACAATATCTGTACATTTCCAGACGTTTTCCATTCTGTCAGTAATGACGAAACCCCTCTTCACCTGTTCTCTGCCTGTGAACGTCTGGGATGATCTTAGTCTTTATTGTTTAGTCTCATGAGTGACAAAGTTAACACTGTCAACAAATCCCTTAAAAAGACAAACCCCACAGTGCGGTAGTTGGTTGTTCAACAGTTTCAGATTTCCAAAGCACACTGAAGCTAACTGAACACATACATTTCATAAAAATGGGTCAAAAATACAGTACACAGTTTGGTTTTTGCCACTCAGACATAAGATACATTTGCTATTGGTTTATGTCTTTGAATGACAATGAGGAAAATACAGAATAAAATAACAGATCAGCCAGTACATACCCCTTCTTGTACTTCAGGGACAGTCCCTTCCAGAAGTCAATTTCCTCGTCTTTTGAGGAGAATTTCGGTATCATATCCATTTCCATAGCAAACCAATCTGGACAGGAAGGAATTTGGAGACAAGAGCGACTACAATGGAATAAAACAATTCCAAATAAGAGGAAACGGCAGGTTTTTTAAACAGAGCTTTGCATCGGCTGTGACAAGCTGATTAAACATTGCTAATGTTCTCATCACGGTGAAGCAAAACACTCCCTTTCTAGGTTTAACTTATTTCAGCACAAGTCTGACCACATGATCTTCAGTCAGGCAAACAGAAATCTTATTAACCACAGGGAAAGCCTGGCTGCTGTTGCAGAAAGTCACTGCTGTATTATACAATAAGTTTCCCTGCCAAAAAAAAAGAAATAAATCAGTGATTCAGTTTCAGATGATATTAAACCACCTCATCCAGAGCCTGAGGGGGAAACTCAGATGGCATTAAAACGGAGGAAAAAGTAGGATAGGCCATTTTGACAGCATAATAAAATGGACCTGGGATGTTTCTTAAATGAAATAAGACCATTAAATTTTCAGAAAGCCATTTTTCCTTCATGTAAACTGCATGAGCTTGGTGTTGGCCTACGAATTTAGATAATAAAGCAGTGTATTCTATGATCTAAACGGTGATAAATAAAGGAAGTCACTTAATATTTAAACACACTGTTATTGCTTATATTTCAGAGATGTTTTAATCCACCCTGTTGGACCCGAATCATATGGAACCTGGCCTCTAGAAACAACCACAACCATACGTCTTCTGACAAGATATTTCAATAAATTCACTAAAAGCACATTTAATCATTGGCTTTCATATATAACAGGACCAGAAATGAGAGCAATAACAGCGAAAGGAAACACCGATGCTGCCGAGCTCAGCTGTCAGAACTGGGTGTGTAAACAGAAACGACCAGCTGTGGACCCGACACGCTGCCTCTGGAATCGTAGTTTTACTGGTTTTCCTTCAAAGACCGAATAAAAGACAGATTGATGTATTTTGTACCTGAACATCGCCCCAAACCGTGATGTTTATCGGTCCATTGTGCTCGCTGGGCTGAGCCGCTGAGAAACTCTGTCTCACTCTCCGCTGGGCTCTGCTACATCCGCTCAGCAGGGATTTAAAGGAAAATACACCCAAAACCTGAACTCACAAATATTACTTCACACACTATTTTCTTCATTTCCCCAGTTCGGCTAAACAGTGTTGACAGGACAAAATACAGCAGCGACAGAAAAACAAATATCCTTGTTTGTAACTACAGTGAGAACACCAAAGCGAAAAAGATCCGTTTAAGGGTGGATTTCCTCCATTGTCGTGGCGCTCATGAGGTTCACTGCCGCACCCGCACAGCGCATAAACGTATGTTCATGTTAAACTAGCGTCATCTGCCGATCACAGACTAGAGCAGCATAAATTTCATCTACCTTCAAATATGCTCCTTCCTATATTTGACTAAAGGAAGGTTTCTTCCTATGTCTAACTAATAAAATGCTGTCACATTTTTTTTTAATATAGCGAAGTCACACTTTTTTGTTTTGTGGTATTTTTTTGCACTAAAAAAACTCAAGGAACATTTTGAAATTACATATATATATGCAGAAACAAGGCACTGCAGGGTATACACAAGTGTAAATACAGGATAAAAGTAATATGCAACAGTGTAGGTACAAACGTCACTGACGTCAACGCGTCATGATGATGCTTGTTGTCATGGTAACGACAAGAGAGTGGGGACCATGGCTGCTTCGAAAAAACCCCGACGTGTTTCCATAAGACCTTTGGAAAACATAGGCTCGGAGGTGGAAGAAAGATATACAATGTTTGATGTGATTCATGGGAAAATGACAGAGGTTTGTACTCGAGCCTTTTGATGGTGTAACGTTAGCTCTAACCGCGCTAAGGCGACTCGTCAAGTAACGGTAACGGTTTACAGGACATGCACCTGATCCAGCAGCCCCACATGTTATGAGAAACATAAAGAATATTTCCCAACAACAACTGGATTAACTACGTTTACTGACAGTATTGAATATACATAGGTTACCTTCACTGAATATGTATAAGCAGCCCAGCCTATAATCAGCAGGCTATTAAAAGTAAAAGTACCAAACGCAGAAAAATGAGCCTGTACATGTCATCAGAATGGTATTAGTTTATTAATACTCGTGTATTATGTGTGAGCAACATTTTATTGTTATAACTGTTTGAGGTGGAGCTAATGTTTTTTGCACAGGACTTCAACTAATAATTGTTGGCCTCCTGTACCTGAAGCACAAGGCAGTTCTTGCCTGGGATTGACTCCTGTGTTTAATGTGTACACCTGTAACTGCACCTGAGTGCCGGAGAACAATGGGTTTCTAGGGTGTAAACTTTATAAACACTGGAGGTGGGCAGCTTACTGAGCTTCACTCACGTTGCTTGAGTGTTTGAATTGAAACAAAAGTCATTCAGATGGAGACAAAGATTGAGAAATTAAGATGGAGAAAGCAGAGGAAAAGAAGGAGGAGGAAAACGGGACTAGTTTATTTCACCCACTGATGGCACAGAAGACACTGCAACAAGATGTGGTTTGTACTGAATTTTAGACAACTGAAAGCTTTGTTCAGTTGTGTTAATGTTGATTGTTCTGCTACTGAATTCTAAGAGCTGATCAGCACCTTTAGGTCATGATCCTGCGAGGCTCTTTTGCTGACAGATACTTGGCACTACACTATACCAAACCGCTCATTGCACAGTGAGATATCCTTATAATTTAAATGTGCTTGTGATAATGATTCGCTATTCATGCATGTATTATATATGTGTATAGTATATGACGGGCCGTTTAAATGTGCATGTGATAATGATTCGCCATTCATGCATGTACTATATATGTGTATAGTATATGACGGGCCTTTGTGTTGTCACTTTGCAGAGACCTCTTTCCTTTGTCTCCACAGAAGATTGTGCTTCAGAGGCTCATAGTGATCGCTCAGCTCCCCCATGATGCCGACAGGACAGAACTGGGAGGTCAGCCAGCAAATACCTTAGAGATACAAAGACAGACTGCACAATAGCTCACTGGTTGATACCATGGCATTAAGTACAGTATATTCTAATCAATGAACTGATCACCTTATACCAATTTAATCCTTTCTGCTTTCAGGAGAAATGATGGGTGATTGTTTTCTCTTCGATATTACAAATTACACTGCTAATTGTGCATTCCTGGCAAAAACACAAACATGCATCAGTGAATTTAAACTTTCCCAACCTCCAAAATCACAACATGTGTCAGATGCTAGCATAGCAGTGAAAATCTTATTTCCGTTGTTGGAGTGTTTTTATGGCTTTCACACACATGTATTTGTCAGTTCGGAACACAACATGCTGCTACATTGCTGTGTTGTTTGTTTCCATACAGCTCATTATGAAAAACTCAACATTGAGCTAGGCAAACAGTACAAATGGGATGCTATGACGGGCTTGCTGTTAATTTATCCATCCTATCTGTTTCATGTTATTGAAGTAAGTATTACTGCAAAGGAATATACACAGCATTAATCTGTGAGGTCTTGTACTGACAGGTGCTGCTTGACTCTCTTACAGTCATCCAGGGATGTTCTGGTTTCTGTTTTGAAAGACCTCAAAGACATGCAACAACAGAGAGACTGGTAATTGTACCATATATAATATAGGATGTACAGTAATGATATAATGAGATACATAATAGTTTAAGTTTACTGGCTGTTTAATGGAAATGCACCTCACCCAGCCAGTTGAGTGAGTAGATATATAACAGTTGTCAGTAAATATGACAACAGTGTATGTATGGTGATGTGCAAGCTTTGGGATTGTAGCTGTAATGTCTCCACAAGAGTCTAGATCCATGCTAGTGGTTCTGTGAGGCAGTGCACGGAGCTACATCCAAGCACCAGCATGCCAACACACTCACAATGCTGATTTCACATGAAAATGATTAGCAGGTATAAAATTAGCCACGTTACCCCTTAGTTTAGATTGTTAGCATGCTAGCATTTGCTAATTAGCACTACACACTAAGTACAGTACCACTGAGGCTGATGGGAATGTCAGGGGTCAAAAACCAAAGTACTAGACAAACTGAACTGCTGATGTGATGGTGGTGCTAGATGAGCAGCTGAAGTTAATATAAGTCTATGCGATCCATCCACTATTAGTAGAAACCTTCACTCAAAGCCACAAATGTCAGGGTCATGGGATTAAAGTAGCCTTTAATTTTTAAAACCTTGCCCTTGGTATTGAATATGTTGTTGTTAAAGTGTATGCAGAACCATACTAATTATTTTTACATCCCTTCTTTAGTACCTTGCTGGGAGCTTCCAAGGTTGTTCTCATGACCCACGACCCTCACAGCAAGATGTTCCAACAGTGGAGCTACAAGGTTCGCTTTTACTCTCACTGCTGGTTTTGAAGTTGTATTAATATGATGCATACACACACTGGGGACAAATGAAAGATCTTAGTAAGATCACCACAGGCCTCTAAAATAGTTGATTGACATAATTTATTTTAGTTTTTTTAGTGACCTCCCTTGTCACTTATATGCAAGTACTTATCGCCAATCTATAAATTTTCTTTTCTGAATTATAATCCGTTTCCCTGAGGATAACTTTTCTGAATGACTCCTGATGCTGGAAGGTGCTGGAAGCAGATCTGGTGGCTCAGGGCCGTGGGGCTAAAGGCCTTCAGGAAGAGGGCAAGAGCACAGAGACTCTGGTTTGCACTGTTCTGTCAGCACTGCAGAGGCTGAGCACACACCTCGAACTGTCTAAGAAGGTGTGCTTACAAGTTTATAATCTTGTTTTTAGAACCACAAATTAATGCTGGTAATGTTGGGTGATAAATGAGATTTTCTCTGTATGACCTAAGGCTCTTCCTGGGTCGGTGCTGGATGAGACTCCAGAGCTGATCATCTCGCAGGCGATTCTAGAAGAGCTGTTGGCTCGAGATGAGCTCCAGAGTCCACAGCAGTATCTCCAGATGTACAGTTCCCCTTTACACATCACCATGGACTTTGGTAAGAGGCAGTTTGGACATGTACATCAAGAGAGCAAGAAAATATTTGTCTTAAAGAAACAGATCAGTTTATGATAATTCTGTTCATTTCTGTGATGAATCCAGTCACTGATAAGAAAGTAGTACACTTTACTATGTTCACTATTCTGATTGCTTAACAGGACAAGCTATTCGTAGCAGCTGCCTCACCACAGTCTAATGCTTGGAACAAAAGAGCAAAGGTAGAGGCTCATCCTACATTTCATCTATGTACTGAGATCCTGTTATCAGTTAAAGGGTCAGTTCACCTAAATTACAAAAACACATGGAGATAGTTTTGGTTTCATTTACTTTGGTTTTTGAATACCAACAACAATACCCTTCACAACAGAAGTGAAGGGACATTTGTTTGTGATGCTCACCGCATTGGAAAATGACATTCATAACATTCAGCAGCAACATCTCTTTCCAGAATCCAAAGTTTTCACTTGGATCTTTTTTGGCAAAATGGCTGCAACAGAAACTGTTGAGGTCTGTGAATAAAAGAAATAGAAAGAGGTAAGAAATGTTGCTGATGAATTTTTAAGCCTCGTTAGCTGTGTCCACCACTTTGGTCCAGGCTGAAACGTCTCAACAACTGTGGGCAGAGCAGAAGATTTTTACACAGATGTTCATGGTCCCTACAGGATGAATCTACTACTCTGGTGATCCCCTTGACATCTGACTGAACCAACTCTTATGTGATATTTTTGTCCGTTTTCTCTGCATTAAAATTATTGCTTTTTTGAGGGGGGGTTAAAGCACAGTAAGTTTTGATTGCTGTCACCTGTATGTTACAGGGTTTAAGGCTGATGTTAAGGTGTTTACAGTGGTCCTATCGCAGCACAGGTGCTTGTCAAGCCAGGTGCATTTCACTGTTGCAGTGAGGCACCTACTTCTCATATACCCTGAGATTCAAAACTCATTCATTCATTCATTTTGTACCGCTTAGTCCCTGAACAGGGTCATTGGGGGGGGGGGGTTAGGGTTACACACACAACCCTTTTTCACATGCACTCCTATGGGCAATTTAGAGACACCAATCAACCTAAGCTGCATGTCTTTGGACTGTGGGAGGAAGCCAGAGTACCCGGAGAGAACCCACGCAAGCACGGGGAGAACATGCAAACTCCACACAGGAAGGTCCCAGGTGGGGCCCGAACCCAGAACCTTCTCGCTGTGAGGCAGCAGTGCTGACCACTGCACCACCGTGCTGCCCAGATTCAAAACTGTAATCAAATATTTTCTGTTTCAGCAAAAGATGTTTGGCCTTCACTAAAGCACCGAAGGTGTCACGGTGTGACTGAACCAGTTGGTTTAACATCCTGCAGCAACTGGTTTTCTTTGTTTGCTCCCAAAATACCACTTTCTGTTCTCATGTATGCTTGAATATGATTTCATACACAAAACCTCTGAGTGAAAAAACACTGAATGCCACTTCCATCCTTTGTCATTCATAACAAAAGCACAGAAAATCCCAAGTAATATAAAATCATTTTAATAGTTTCAACATTCGGATGAGGATTTATCTTACACTGTGTTTCACTTGATGACCAGGAAATAGCGTGGCCAGGAAAAGGCCTTTCCTCTTCACTCCAAACTTTACAGAATCTACAGCATCACTACACTCAGTATAAAACGATTCTTTGTTCACTTACATGTTCCCTTTTTATTTTGGCCCCCATTACTCAGAGCTTCAGCAAAAAAAGATGATTGAACATGTACTTGTAATGGCTGCATGCACCACAGTGTAATCTACAAAAAAAACTAGAGATAAACTTTTCAGCAGACTTTAGTCCTCTGAAAGCACCGTGTCCTGGGCACAGTCTTCTCTTCCATCATGTCATGACAGTTTGTGATTTCCTGCTTTCTGTTTGGGGTATGATGTGCTTTTCTGAGTTGCTATAGATAAAAAGGGTGGAACATTCTGCATTAATGCAGCACAGAAGATGGAAACAAACAGTAAATCATGCCTGCAGAATTGATGTGACCAAAGTTTCACTGAAAAAGGTTAAGGGCAGCATTGAATCACTCCTCTCTTGTAAAGGTTGATCTATTTGCCTATAAAAAAGAAATACAAGCATATTTATATATGACCAAAGATGAGACATATTTCATATGCATGTTTAAAAAGTATGCTGCCGAGTTTCACACAGGACAATGTCGATTTACACATCACCTCCCCCCTAAAACTGCTCCTTACAGTTTTCACTAAAATCCTTCCACCCTCTTTTACTTGAAACCATGTCCACAACACAAACAATCCACCTATATCACAACTTATTATCAACATTTTCTATCACCGGTACATTCCACCTGTCCATGTATAAAAAAGGCCTTGTATTTCAGTGCTCAAAGGACATGCTTGCAAAAGCTGTAATACTGGAGACCATCAGTGGAATCGTCTCTGCTCGACTAGGTCACTGTTAATAAAGTTGGGTTGGATGGAAACTATGTACAAACCTTGATCTGAGAATATTTAGTTCAAAACAAAGAGCAGCACATTGTTACACAGAAATCCAGACAAAGACAGGACAGACCATTCACCTCAGCACTACGTCGAAAAAATGTTTTGTGGTCAGCATCAGGTTTTTCTTTAAATATTGAAATAATAAATACTGGTGAAACTCACCAGGAGGATGTGATTACATCTAGTAACTGGTATGAACTCTAACAGAGCTGAGACTCATTAACGCATTAGTCTAATTGACACAAAAATAAGTTACTACGTTGATAATCATGTTCATGATTTTTCAAGCAAAAATGTAAAACATTGTCTTGGTTCAGCTTTAATGGCGACAGGATTTACTGCTTCTCTTTATGTGATAGTAACTGAAAACCTACAGATTCTGGAGTGTTAGTTGGGTCAAAAAAACATTTGATAACATCACTGAGCATTAAGAACGATTGCAACCATCAGATTTTTCGAACCGCTTTTTATGCCTGTGATTTTGTTTTCCATGTTAGACTTTTAAGATCACATATCATTTATCTCATCTGAAGCGCATGACTTTGTAGATGTTTGTTCTCAGTCCTACTGTCTCACAGTCAAACCGCCACACAGTACTGCAAGAGCTTCTTAAACCCTGCTCGACCGTATGATTGACACATCATTACATCTGCACGTCGTGTGGACAAACATTGTGCACACCTGCATAATTTTTTTTATTCCAAATAAGGCTCCTATCTTTTCAAAAATATAAAAACTGCCACATTGAACTGAGGGAAATGTATGAAATGATGCACAAGACATCTTAATTTCACCATTAAATCTACAGCAGTGTCATGTAGCTGCAGTGACGTGTTGGAACAAGCATATACAGGGTAAATAATGCAGTCTTATTTAACAGCGTGGGCAAGAGTCCTGGAGACTGATTGTGAGTCGAGGACAGATGAGCACTAACAGCTGTTTTTCTTTAGAATATCTACACACTGGATTTAACCATGAGCCTACGTCAGTGCCACAAGAGCTACTGTACCACTGGAAGTTTTTTCTGTGTGATGTCACCTTGATGTTACTTTGTGTGAATTTGGCATTATTGTAATAGAACCTGCAACATTATCTGTACAGAATCATGTAATGTGTGTCTATAGTTTTCAATACAGTATTTGTATATATATATATATATATGTAATATTAAAATTCTCCCTGTCGTTATATACAGAATGAGTATGTACAGGGGCTTCAGTATTTACAGAAGTCCTGTGAATAATATCGCACTTTAAAAAGAAAGAGGATGGTAAAGCAGCACAGTGACTTCGAGGCCATGTGTAGTGGATGTTCTCAGGACATAATCTGGATAGGTCACAACAAAACCCACCGTCGTAGGCAAGCCTCGTCACCCCAGTTTTCCCTGAAACTGAACCCGTGATTCTTGTAAAGGTTTTGATGTGACAGCAGAGAATTTCTGGTCCCATGTTCCTATGTCATGCTCTTTTTATCCTCAGGTGAAAATCATGTGTAGTGGAAACTCCCCAGACCTCATAAAAACTATTCAGAAATATATCTGTATAAATACTCTCTTCAAAATAAAGACATATACACATATCCTTGCACTTGCCTCTGGTTCATTAACAGACTGAAAACATCGGCATCATCAGAAAGGGTTCCTATAAGCTGCGAAGTGGAGGTTGCTGAAACTGAAACCACACTGTCAGAGAAAAAGTGTGCTTGCTTTACACTGGAGCTGCAAGTTGTTGTTGTTTGTTTTTTTTTTGGATAAAATAGCACCTTTTTTTCTGGGAGTGTGTCAAGACTGTTTTCAGTTCTTCACCCTGGCAGGACAGGATGTTATAGCAGCGCAGGGCAGGGGGACAAAATGCTGCCTGTACACTCTGACAACACTTTGCCAGAGATGATTCTCCCATATGGAGCCTGAAGTGCACCACCGGAGTAAACGCAGCCTTTTATCTGTTAAATCACAAGCATTTGATTAATAAATCTAAAAATCTGTTAAGATACACAATAAAACCACAAAACCTTTAACAACAGCTCTAACTGTGTGTAAGCAGTATGACGGCTAAACAATAAAAGTACTTTATGGAGTGTTTGGCCATGAGCAGAGCTATGAAGCAGTGTTTTAACCCCCTGATCCACAGACGGTGGCGCTAACGCTTGCAGACAACACCTGCATGATAGTAGCAGACTCTGATGTAAATGAAAACTCTGAAAAACTGATGGATTTCTAGATGTATTTTGAAGAAGGAACTGGATTTAGTGTATTTATTGTGCTACATTCATGGCATATAATTAACAGCAGCCGACTGAGACAAACCGCTGACATCAGCACCTGACTTGTAATTCTGAGTTGAAGATATTGTGAATTTCTGACAGTGATGATAAATCCTGCTTGGTGAAAAAAACTATAGACGTCAACAAATGCATAACATTAGGCTCATTTTATAGGAGTCATACAGTACACGGTTTGTGTGCATCTGGTCTGCTACAACCCAACAAGGCAACTTTAAACCAAGTCTAACCCACAAAGCTGCAGTGTGGACTCTGATTGGCCAGGCCCCTGCCAAAATATAATAGCTGGCCAATCAGAGCTCTTGGTCCTGCTCTGAGTGCTGGACTTTAATTATTTATTTAAGGTATGGAAATGTTCTGGTGACACGCTCCAGGCTCCAGAACCTGCACATTCTTGTCTTTCTGTGGATTCAGCTCCCTGTTTCTGAAACTGAAATCCATCCTTATTTGAAAAACACCATGTGACTTTGCTTGCTGCCAAAAATAAATATGATTAATCACATGGAGCTTTTCATTTTAGCTCGCTAGACCTTTCATAAACTACAAATTCTATCTCATACACGTCCCCGACATCACTGACTGTTTTCTGAGGAAGTGTTTTCTCTATAGTTCACCTGTGGATACAAAATATGATTTTTTAAAATGCTAATCATATTATATACTCTGAAAATGTAAAGTATAATTAAATATTCAGTAACCGATATCTCAATGTAAATATAGAGAAACGTGGAATTGGCTGTTTAAAACCTCTTTGCAACCTGGTACTTGTTTTCCTAAATGTCTAGAACCTGCATTCCTGTTTATGCTCCATGACACCAATGATGCAACATCACAGAGTACAATGATAAAACACACACACACACACACCTTCATCATAATGGCACACTCACAGTGAACGCTCAGGTGGGACAAAGAATTCGGGGTTGTTGCCACCACATGCCAGAGCGAGGCATTTCACCGGATACCCCTGAGGAACGGAGCAGGAACCCGGGATGGGAGATAAACAGCGAGAGAAAGAAGAAGAATGCCTATGTGTTGGCAGGATGGATGTACAGTCCTGTGTTGTTCTTCCTTCTAAGGTTCACTCATGAGAAGCAGCAGCAAAGAGCACTCATTCGTCCCAGCAGCCTGCATCCAGTCGAGTGACGTTAAAGGCAATATTGCAAGTGAATAAAATAAGGCAAAAAAAAACATTACAAGGAAAAACAAACATGTTTCCAGCCAACATGAAATGTCCCCTGATGACACTGTTGCTAACACCTCACCTGATTGCAAGTGTGGAGATTTATTTTTGTTGCATGGACCTTATTTTCTGTTGCTTTATGGTATAGAAGAGCTTGCTTTTACAGGTGAGCCCATCTGGATCGAGAACAGGTGAGATGTGACGTGAGATCCAGAGTGGCCGGTGATGCTGATGTGATCCAGCTGGAGAGGTGATAGGTCAGGGAATGAACGTGTTTTAAATGACACGGTGCAGCTGTCACGTTGTGTTTCATTTAATCAGCCGGCGGAGGATCCCAGTGGAGTCATAGCACTGTGCTTTCAGCCTCCTCCTCTGACTCTGACTCTGCTCTGTCATTGGTCGACTCGAGCAGTGCCACTGAGTTCCTTAAGGGGCTGATGTGAGGCAAGTCAAAAATATCGTCCAGTTCCATGTTAATGGTGGGGATGTCCAAGGTGCAGAGAGAATCTGGCAGAGCAGAAACACAAACAGGATGAGCAGAAAGGGAAACAAAAATACTGTTAATGCAGGTAAAAATAAAGGCGCCGAGTGAAATGGGTCATTCTAGATATGGGTTCATCAATGTTGGATGATGTTACATACAGCATGTGGGCCATCAGAGGTCCTCAGGTACAGTATGAACAATTTTAAAAATGCATTATGGAGGTGCACAATATACCAGAGGGCTTATTACTAAAAAAATAAATCTTCAGATGAACTCAGTATTTTGTAAAAATGTCAGTATCGTGCACTCCAAATGCTTCATCTGATTCAGACATGATCAGTGACCACTGAAAAACAAAACACTGTCAAAACCACTAGATCAATGTAGTTAGTTATCCTCATGTACAAACTAATATATTGATGTAGGTTTGATACAAATAACCGGTTCTTCTTCAGCGTCATTTGTGAGAATGATGACAATCCACAGTGTAGCAAGTGTGATGGACAACAGACAGGAAGTGAGCTGAGTGAGGAACAGCAGTGGGCAACATTGTGGAGTGGAGTGGAGCAGAGCACGAGTGTGTGGGTGGGGTGGGGGGTAGCTGGAGCAGGGCATTATGGGTGGGAATCCTAAGGCAAGAAAAGGTGGGAGGTTTCTGGCCTGGTCTGCTCACGCTGGACGGTCTGTCTGACACGTCCACATATAAGCCATGCATCAGTCTCAGCCACCATGCAGAGGCCAACAGAACGGGTTAACGCTGGACTGAACACAGCCGCTATACATCTGTATACATAATGAGAGGTCATTCATTGGTATGTACAATCAGTTGTCAGTTTATTAGGTACACTTAGCTCAAACTAATGCAGTCTAATTCAACAGTCCTGTGATAAATCCTCCTTCATGAAGGTGATGATATTTTGTTTGAGGCTAGGCTAAATAGCAGAAACAGCTCTCTGTATAATGCAGTACAACTTAACAGCAGCACAACCTCCAGCTCAATCAACACCTCTCTGACACAGTTTGAACACAAATTGAACATTATCACCTTCATGAAGGAGGATTTATTGCAGGATTGCTGGAGTAGACTGCATTAGTTTGAGCTAGGTGTACCTAATAAACTGACATTTAAGTGTAAGGGGTGGCTCTAGAATGAGGCTGCTGTAGAGCGGTGAATCAGACAGAACCCAGGGCCAGTATTTATCAAACTGGTAAGAATGACACTACAGACGTCTGTGAAGTCCCAAGGTAAGAGTGAAAACGTTGCTGAAGGAGAGTAACGAGACTCAGTCACCGAGTGGCTTCCTCCTACTTACAGCTGAGTGTCACCTTTAAGAATATTTGTTTTAAAACATCTTGTTATTCCACAAGAACAAATCTAATTATCCTTTTTTTTAAATGTTCATTTTATTTGTGTGAAATTTCTATAAATAATTAAAATGTTAAATTAGTAACAAACTAGTATATTTTTATTTGAACATGCCTCTGTAACTAGGGTTGAAATAACGGGGAGGCTTCTGCTGGTGGCAGACGAAGTATGCCATAAACATCATGTAATGAGGAGAATTTATTAGCATACAAGTGTAGACAATGAAGACAACTGGACTGTGATTGTAAATCAAATCAATGCCAGAATTATTATTGTAGCCCTGAAAAATGCAAAACAACAACAAAGGAAAAAGTAGCGTAATATTCTATAATGTTTGAATGTTTTAGCAAAAACTAATATTTTATAATTATGCTGCTTTAGCTGAAGTATTATCGTGATGATCAGACAATGTTTGTGTGTTCGTACTGCAGTCATCCAGGACCTACTCCAAGCTTAAGAGTCTACTGTAGCTCTCTGACATTTAACAGCATTTTTAAGTCAAAAGAAGTTTGACAAATAGTTTCTGCTCCTATATTTGTCACTAAAGTCCAAAATGTTACTTTTAGCAGTTTGATAAATATGGCCCATGATTTAAAATCTGCATCCACTGGCAACCTCACCCCAGTGTGAGCACCATGTGTGGTCAAGATGACAGAGGGACTGGAGGGGTGGGAGGCGAGGTGGCAGCACAGGAACTCCTGCTTACCCTAAAAGTCCCTCTCACACCTAGAATCACACTGAACCTGCTGCCTCATACTGCTGTAAGTGAGACAATAAGGTCAATCGACAAGAGCATAAAATTAGATGAAAACATAATCAGAACCGGCTAGTGAGGTCAAAGGAATAGGTAACTAGAGTATAAAGGGTTATAACAGCTGGTACCATTAACTTGTAATAGCTGATGGTGAAACAATGCTGGCTGTGGATGTTTCCTTAAAGCATAGAAGCTTGAATCGTACAAATAAATTACATTCTTGACTTTTGCCATATTGTTTATGCAACAGTGTCATGAAACCATTAATAAAAGGGTGCAGATAAATGAAGCAAAAAGCACTGTATCTTTTTTGAAAATCTAATAAGGTACAAAGTCAAGTATAACTAAATACAAACTGCATAACCACAACATCTGTTACGGTACCTGTGGACATGCTTTCCCCAGGAGACAAACCATCCAGAAGACCTGTCGAGTGCTCCAGAGGCTGGGGACTGGTGCCAGGTGTGGTGGGGGGCTGAGGAGGAGGCAAGCTGGGCCTCTGCCGGGGCGGCTTGGGCGTCGGCCTGGTCTTAGTGAGAGTCCCAGCCAATGAGGGTGGAGAGGAGAGAGACGGGGTGGTTGCCGCCTGGGCCTGACCTGGGGAGCCAATGGTGGCGTATCCCTGTGGGTAGCTGAAGCCATATGGGGAGGGGGTGCTGGGCGGAGTGGGCGACAGGCTGACTGGAGATGGCTGACCTGTCGACTGGTCGGACATGGCTCCAGTCTGGCAGTAAGGGGCTTTAGGGGGGATTGGTGCCAGCTTCTTTGCTGTGGAGACACCAACATGAAATAACTGATCTCTGCAACATAAATACTACAAAACTGCAATGACAGTCTGCAAGACGGGGCAGTGCTTGAGGGCAACAGGAAGGTGGAAAATAACGATATGAGGGAGGAAGAGTGTTCTCAGCACTGCTCAGCTTGTGATGGCTTTTATTCTGGAGTTGAATGAATAATGATATTTGTGCAAAAAAAAAAGAAAAGTTGAAGCAGAAGCTGAGACCTTCTGTATCAACCTTTAGAAATTCTAGGTCGTACAGTTCCCATAATGCACAAGATCTTCCATTACAGCTTTCCTGGCTGTTAAATGCTCTCATCTTTCAAACTCTACAGGTTAATCCCCAAGTTCCTTATTTTATCCTTCCATGGTCCTCGATCCTCACTTGACCTGGAGGTCCGCCATGATGAAGGACATTTCAAAGCTTATTTTTGCTCTGAGGACCAAGGAGCAAGGAGGAGCTATAAACAAGAATACATGAGTGCATCCTTTGCAGAAGTCTGTTTTGGATTGACACACCCCTTTATTGGAAATCAGTTTGTGATTGGATGCTTCACATAAAAGCATCCAATTTCAGTTTCTCTTTGCATCTTATGTGGGTGGGACTAAAATGCAAGTGAGTGAAATGTGGATGTGATTAGAGACTTTGGGATTTACCTTCTGCTCCCTGTTTTCTAGACAATTGTTTCTGTCAAATCATTCTCAGATATGAAGCCCAACCTGATCCCGCACTTTAGGAAAGCTACACAGGCCTTCATAGAAATGTTTTTACTTCATGAATTGGCCTAACCATTACGGGTAAACTAACCTTTATGTGCAAAATCAGTGGAGTGTTCCTTTAATGGTCATCACTCTCCTTCACTTCTCACTAATCTAATCAACCCTTCAGATTCTCAAATGCATTTTCTGCACTGATCTGACTTAAAATGGCCTCATTTCAGTATTCAATAACAAAACAGCTTCTATTTGTGCATAAGACAATAACTAAATGATATATTTCTAACAATACTTTCTCTTTTTGCCTTTAATCTGTTTATTTAACCTTGTGCTACTTATATTTATTTAGTTATGATTTTTATACAGAAATGTCTGACCTGGAAAGATAAAACAGGCGAATGGCTGTGAGGTAACGTAAAAGTTCAAGCAGCCTATCCAGACAGTAACACACAGCCTTATTACCTCTCCTCAGGGAGTGTGGGCTGTGCTCCGAGTGCTGCGACTGTCCACTAGAGGTCCCTGTTCCCTGGATTCCTTTCTGTCCGATCACTGGAGAAAGCTCCTTGTTCTTCAGAGTACTGAGGAGAGAGTGAAGGAGAAACACACTCATGAATTACCAGCTGCCCTTTGCATTTCACTCGTCTTTGATAAAACCTCAGCTGTGTTTCCATAAATCTCTTGACATATTAAAAAAATATGAGTGCACCAATAGTCCAATGTCAAATTGCCAGAGTGACCACTGTTGCAGACATGTAGTCTATTCTGCGGTGCAGCAGAAGCAGTTCAAAAATCCCAAATAAACCCTGATGGCTTAATGGATTTTCCTTATTTTTACAGAGCAGTGCAGCCTGAATGCCAATGAGAAGAAGAGCCTGAAGGTCAAAACACAACAGTCCTCAGCTACACATCAGCCTGCTCTCACTTTCAGCAGATGAGGCATGAGTGGAGATTGAAGCTGCTGGGACCTGAAGTGAGGATGGAGAAAAGCAGGTGAGCATCTCTGGGATTTTTTCCATTCTCAAACATCATGATAATGTTTTTAACTAATGATGTTTTCTGGTTGTTTTGTTCCAACATGCATCATTGTGTTGCTTCTGTTCATGTTCAAGGTTTGCTCTTGCAGTCTACCACTCAGGGCTGACTGGGCCCACTGGTATGACTCATTAACGCCCACTTTATAATAGTATTCACTGAAAGCTTTGAATTTCCTTTGTTGCCTGGCAACTGGCTCCTGAATATCCTGGCAACATGGAAAGTTATGGATTGCATACATGGATATTACATTAAAGATGGATCTGATAATGGAGTTCCTAAAGAGCACTGATTGTATGATTGGCAGAGACAAACTCAAGGGGATTAATAAGACTAACAGAGAATTATAAAGGCGGGGATATCTTAATCTCACCCATCCCATTTTCTCCTTATCTCATCATCATCCCTCTCAAGCTTCTTTTCGTCCCTGTGGGGCCTCTCTTCATTTGTGTGTGAATTGTGTTACGAACGAGTTAAGCAGGGTTCTGTATTTACCTAGTCAGCTTGGCTCCTCTCTCTCGGACACAGGCACAGGCTGCCCGTGGAGGGGGGACAGATAAGGGAGTGTTGGGGGGTCTGGGGGAGCCCAGGAACAGATCGTGACGAGTGAGAACGAGGGGGGGTTTGATGTAAAGGGTGGAGCCGTTCGTTTCGGATGGGGGCGCATGCGGAGTGTCGGACAGGGAGGCTTGTTTGGGCAGGTGCAGGCAGCTGGGTTTGGGGTTGGAGTTGACATCAAGCTGCTGAGGGGATGGGCAAAGGGAGCGAGGGAGCAGGGGTGGGCTGTAGCCAGAGCGGCGCAGGGGAGGGGACGGGCCAGGAGGCACGGTTTCAGGGCTGGGAGCAACAGGACGCATACCCGGAGGTGCACAGCTGTAGAAATGGTGGTGACTGAGCGAGTGGGAAGAGCAAGAGGAGCAGGAGGAGGAAGATGGGGAAGAGGGGTAAGGGGGAGGCGGCCTCTCCTCCTCAGGGGAGGGGTAGGCGTAACAGGAGTCCGACCAATTGGAGGATGCATCATCCGAGCTGCAATGATAAAAATATCAGTTTTATGGGAAACTGAGGTGGTGTCCAGAGGCCGAAGGTGGATGAATACATTCGTTTCTAGAGATAAAGAGAAGTGGGACATATTGATCTACAAGTTTAAGTTTGATCTATAATTAGGGGGAAATAAGGCGAACTCTAATTACTGTGTCACAAAGAAAAAGGAGGGGCTCCAGGGGGAACAGCACACAAAATAAAGAATAGATGCTTGTGAAAATCTCTGTGGCTTTTAAATATCAAAACTGAAATAAAACAGAAAAGTCATCACCTCATCCATTGCAGGGCTTTGCAACAATGGACTGTTATGCTGTTAAAGATGCTTGGACTAATGGCAAAAACAAAACAATGTGTAATTCATGCACATGCAACAAGGAACCACTTCTACTGAACTAGGGGTGAACTCTGCTAAACTTTTTCAACATTTTCTAAGTCTAAAGAGAAGTGAAAACCTTCACTTGTACCACACGATATACAGTGTCACCAGTCAAGCAGAAAATTAACTCTGGAGGCCTCCACACATGGCTCTACAAATCCAGGGATGAGAATGTTTTTAAAAGAAGACACATTAAAAACTTAAAGAGCAGTCACAAAGTTTGACATGACATGCTTCATCAGAAGAGAGTTCACACAGAGGTGACGAGGTGAAAGGAGGAGCATTTCCTGTGGGGAAACAGCAAAACAAACACACACAAAAAAAAAAAAAAAAATGGGAAAGAAAACTACTGTTGGAACAAGTTGCCTTACCTGGCTCGGTCGCTGCTAGTGGGAGGAAGGGTGGGGGAGGGGGAGGCAGAGAATTCCCCAGGCTGCTCGGGGATGAGGGCGTCAGTGGGCGGGACAGGGGGATGCACGCCTGGTGGCGTGGAAGAGGTTTTACGCGTAGACGACGAGCCCCTGCGCGACACCCAAGAAGTGTCCATCACCCTGACACCCATGCTGCAGTGGGACAGAGATGCACAGCCAATCAAATCAAGGAGGGCGTGTGTTTGTGCAGCTCGGGGGGATTGGAGTTCCACACCCTAAACACATTGTCAGGGGTGAAGTGCTGCTGAAAAGGGATCCTTCTCTGTCATCTGTTCCCTGGAGCAGCAGCTAGTATCACTCTGCTTATGATCCTCAGCATGCAAGAACAGAGCAGCTGATCTACAGCCTCCTGCTTAAACTGATCATTTCCTGCATGATAATGATGCATGAGTGATGTAAAATGGTAAATATTTTAATACTGCAGCACAAAAGAAATGTGGATGAAATGGACAAGAAGAGGATGCACTAATAATCCCTTTGAGGAAAAGACTTAGCACAACAGGTTGACATTTTGGGAAACAGCCATATTCACTTGCTTGTATCCATCCATTCAGTATGAAGCTACAGGCAGCAGCTGGTTAGCTTGGCCAGTGCAGAAAAAAAGACATTTACAGACTAAAGGAACCTGATAAGAATGAGAATTTGTGCACTGTACAATATATTTTAGAAGCAGATTATATCTTTTCTCTATAAAAAAAAAAATCTAATGTCTAAAAAGTATGGTGGAGTAAAAAGTACAATATTTGCTTTAAAAATGTAGAGAAACGGATACATGAGGTAGAAAATGAAACAATCAAGTAAAATACAAATATCTCAAAACTGTACTTAACAGTACTTGAGTAAATCTATTTAATTTCCAGCCAGAGGTGCAGGTAGGTGAATTCTGTAGCGCTTTTGCTGAATGAGACAGCATCCACTTGCTTTTTAAGTTAGGCTTTTACCAATAACAGAGTAAAACAAGTCTGTTTCTGTATATGCCAACTATTCCTTTCATACAACAGGAAAACAGGAACCACGTTAACTATGTTGTCATCAGAGACTCAGCAACAAAAGGCCTTTGTGCTCATGGGTTAATCAAGTCTATCCAGTGCCAGAAACTGCAAAGATGCCACTTATGTAAACACAGAGAGAAAGGCCTGCTTTGTTCATGTTAAGCCCCCCCCAAACACACGCACACACACACACACAAAAGGAGTCCAAGTGTGTCACTTCAGGCAGGCCTGAGTGGAACATAAAACACACACATGATAAACAACAGGGAGACGCAGCTGATGAACAGACCAGTGAGAGGATGGCTGGAGGAAAAGGAGCTTTACTGTACCTTTGTATCTTCCTAATGCTGCATTGTTAAAACAGAGACAAACACAATGAGGACAGGAGTAAAGACAGGATGACAGAGTCTCCCCCCAGGCTCATTAACAGCATCATTTTCCAAGTGGCAGTGAAATTCTGAAAGGATAAAATTTTGAAGGCAAGAGCTGAGATGGAGGAGCAGCAGAGTGAAATAAAGAGGCTGGCCTGGCAGGGGGCTGCATGGGACCAGAGTCACGCTGAGCATAATGAGGAGAGCGATTTGAGGGGTGAAATGTGCTCTCCTTAAAGACCCAGAGAGAAAGTGTTCACTCCATTTTGCTCTAATTGGGTCAAAGTTTCCTTGATGAACAGAAGAAAATCCCCCTGAATAACAGGAAATGTGAGAGGTCTCCTGCAGTGTGTTCGGCAGTGATTCTTCCTTAAGTTTAATTACGCTGCACCGGCGACATGCTGGAACATTTCATTTACATGTCCACATACTTATGGCCATCTTTTAAAAAGCCCTTTAACTGCTCTTACTCTTCATTAAAGGTAGAATAAAACTTTATTTTATTCCCAGATTTGTTCGCACCCTGCAGGTGCTGCTCAGCTATCATTCTCTGACCAACATCTCTAAAAATAAACTCCCACTCTATGTAGTTTCTCTTCCCAGTACAGTATGTAGTACTCTGTCCAGACTACATATAAATTATTTTTACTGGCCAGATTAATGCAGAAGTTAAGTGCAGTGTGTGTCCTTCAGCTGGTCCTACTGGGCACAGAGAAGGGTAGGAATGATGACTTTTTTATTCTGCACTTTATGCAGAATGGATCCAATGTCATATAACCACTGAGCTACACTTACCAGAGCTAAATCTAAAACCTTTTTTTTTATATATAAAAACTAACACAGCCTCTCTTTCAAAGCCTTGCTCTGGTCCTGAAAAGGGTTCACTCTGTTTCTATTGAATCTTCAGCTCTATTGATCAGCACTCGCCTTGTCCAGGTTTAATTAGCCCAGTGACTTGTGGTCCCAGGCCTGCAGACAGCTCAGACTACCCACAGGGCCTGATAAGACCGAGGGTGTCTTTCAGCATTAGAGAAGGAGACACAGAGACAGGCAGAGAGAAAGAAAGTGACTGGCTTGCAGCTAATCCTCTGCAGCTTGAGAATTGTCAGATTCCTCATTTCACTGACTAAATATCATCTCCCTCTGTCTGTTGGACTCTTTTCTTCTCCCTTTTTGTCTTTTTCTCACTTCAAACCCTCTGACTACTCTCCACAAAGAGCCTGAAGGCAGGAGTGAGTGTATCATTCTGTCGACCTCATAGTGAAACTGAGCTTTTCACTGAGGTCACTGCCCACATGAAACTTGTGTAATCATCGGGGAATTCTCCCACTCTTACTCCACATTTTCAACTCCGTCAGCGGGCAGTCATGTGGAAGCTGGACATGCATAAAAAACGTTTGTCAGTCCAGCTGTCAGGTAGGTTGCACACTGAGTGAAGCTATGAGAACACCACAGAGGTAGAGGACAGCTGATCGATTCACAGGCAGAGTGATGTGACTGCGAGGTTTTTAGATAAGGAGGATTACTGGAGGAGTCTCATCTCAGCTCTGGATTACAGGGGTCATTTAATGATGTGCCACCGTCTTCATTCATTCCCTAATGTGGATGAGTGTTGGAGGAGCAGCATCTGTTCTGCAGCAGCTACATTTCCAGTATAGTTTTGAATTATATTTTTTATTATTACAAGAATACGGAACAAATTTTTTGTCCTCCAGAGACAATGTTAAGTGACTCACGGCTGGAGCACTTCTGCAGCATGGATGAGATTCTTCTAGCCAAGTCATTAGTACTAAAGATGAACAACTACATCAGAAAATCTGGCCTGCTGTGAAAAGTTAAAGCAACCACATCCAGTCACATGAGCAGCTGACAGTGTGTGGAAGCTAAAGAGCACACTGTTCACTTAAATCAGTTCACTTTTGGATTCTGGGTCAATTTTGGATGAATTCAACAACTATGTTGATTTGTTTTCCTCACAAATTCAACAACAAAGTGTTTTAATTCAGCTCACCTCTAACCAGCTTCTCCTCTACAGCAGCTGAGGCTCATTGGTGTAGTAGTTTTCAGGGCCAAAATAAAGGACAAGGCATAATTTCTCAGAAATGTAGCTGAAATCATTTAAACTGGTGGCCATAACATAAACCTACAGAACTGTTACAGTACATCATCCAGGAAAGCCCTGGATTTTCGATGCTGAGTAACATATTAAGAGATAATTTTAAATGCAAATTACAGTGGGGAGAAATCTTTCCAAGACTCGGGGTTACTCCTGTTTATTCTCTAATCCAATGCAACTATTGACAGTGTTGCTTTAAATGAGCAGCAGTGTTGCGATGTAAAGGAGAGCGATATAAGGGTCATACCCGTCTTTCTTATAGAACTCCAGCATCATGTTGTCTGTGGCGACGCTGAGCGGCCGTCGACTCTGGTCGTTCTGCTTACGATCGAGCTGATCCATGTCTGGAGACGGCATGGAGCTGTAGTTGGCATTGTGGTTAGTGTGGACGGGGCTGCCGTAGTTCCCTGTGACGTTAAACTCAATTTCTAAGAAAGACAAAGGAAAAGGATGAGTTACAGAAACAATTCTTATTTTGTAAAGTGCAGAAGTCTTGGTATATTTTCCAAAGCTATTTCATCTTTCCTCACCACCGGGGAAGAACCAGTCGGCGTGCTGGATAACGGGCTCAATGATGCCGACGATCTGCAGGGACACTGTCGTCATCATCTCTGTGATGTTCCTGCAGCGAGCAGAGGAGATGCTGTCTGATCATAAGAACTAACACTCAGGGAGTGATTAACACTTTCTCATGATATTACAGAAGCATTAAAACGATAAAACTGAAACCATTTCAGAAACGTAGGCTATTACAGTGGGCTAATTAAAAGTTAGAGATGGATAAAGACTTTATAAAATTTACAGTACATACACATATGGGATCAGTGTCCTTCACCCTCTCCAAACTGCTTAGTCATCATCATCATTGTACTACACTGTACTAGAACAACTGTCTCCTGGGGCCTGGTGCCTACCAGCCTTCTCATTATCAATGTGAAAAATACTCTTGTATCCAAAAATATTACCAGCAAAATATACTTGAACAAAATTAAAGGTACACACTAAGCCGAACAACCCCTTACATGGTGTTACGGTATACAGTATATAAGGCTGTGTTTGCTGATGGTTTAATGTGTGAGCTGCGTTTTGTTAAGGTTGGATGTCAAAACGCCAAACCGTACAAAATCATAAAAGCCCTGTGGCAGTGCAGAGGAAATATCTGAACCTTTGTATAAATTTTAATTTGTACAGTAACAGGTTGCAGAAAGGTCTGCCATCACACTGGCAGATACTGTATGTCCTCCACCATTTTATAATAAAGTACAAGTACATTCCTGGATTCGTGACCTTAGTTACTTCTACTACAGCTTGTTATTAGAACTTGTGACACTGTGGACTTGAAGCAGCATCATAAACATCAGCTGCCTGAAGTTTCCACTAAGAAAAATGAAAAACCAAAGTGAACTCTTGTCTCAGTCTGTCTGCTACATTCACTGAGCATAAAAAGCTAATTTCACTGCTAAACCAGAAAAGATACAGTGTGTTCTATTTTAAACTCGCTTTACTCTCTGTCCTCCTTTTTCCTCCATTTAAACCTAATCTTTCTCTTGTCTGCTGAACATATTCGTTTAACAACTCTGTATTACACAGGACGCAGGAGTAGTTTTATGTCTGTTTGCATGTAATATTAGCAGGCCTGTATTTGGCTAGCTGTCAGTAAAATATATTAGGTGCAGTTAAGTCAAAGTTCAAAGTGTTTATTTGTCATATGCACAGTTAGGAAACGTGTTTCCCTGTACAATGAAATTCTTACTTTGCCGTCCACATGAATGCCACAAAATACAAATGAAATATAAAGTAGATAAATAAGTAACAGAAAATCTAAGGCACTTTAAGCAGCAAATGCAGCAATATAATAAATAATAATAAAAAATATATATCCGTGTTGAGGCTGAGATTATTGTCCTTGCACCTTGACACCAGACTAGCCACCTTGTCCCCGCCAGTTAAATAGGGCAACTTAAAAGAGCAACTTAAAGGTACTATGCGACGTTTTTGACCACCACTTGTGCTATAGAGGCTTTTCTAATGAATGAGCTTTTGCTTTGTTTGAATCTTGTGCATGCACATGAGCACACACTGGAGTGCACGCACTGCAGCCAGTGTTTTCAAAGAAGATGTAGCTGGTTTTAAGTTGCTCTTTAAAGTTCATATAGTTACATACAATAGAAACCACAAAGCTAAGTAAATGCTGTACTGGATGCCTGATACTGTGTCACTGCCGTCTTACCCTTCATCGTGGGTCCACAGCAGGTTCGGTCCGAGCACAATAGCAATGTTTCCAGGCGTCATCTTGTTCACATCTTGGTACTCAGTCAGCTTAGAGAGGAATTTGATCAAATATCTATTGATAGAGATGCAGGAAGTAGGTCAGTCAATGAAAACTACTTGAAATTTGCAGATTCTTAAGTCCAAAGTGACCTGTGTCAACCTGTGTAGGAAGAAAACAGCATTTCATTACTGACTGTTCTGATCACATTTGGTCTTTTTCAAGCCAAGTGACATACAGTATATATATGTACACACACTACCCGTCAAAGGTTTGAGAACACCCCCATTCCTCCAGTTTTCACAGACATGTAAGTAGTTTAAGTTCAGTTATTAAACTTAAATGGTACAAGGCTAAGAAGTAAACTGCCAGAGGTAAAAAAAAGAAACACACAGAGGACAATCTAAAAGTAAGAGCTACAAATATGTCAACAGGGGCCTGTGTTAATTTAGCCATCACCTAAACTACTACAACTTGCAATGCTTATAGTAAACACTTGAATAATCTAGGGCCATGATGTAGTTCAAATAAAATTAAAAGATCACTTCATGCAAAACAGAGTAAGTCCATCTAAGCACATCAGATGTTATAATAACGTCGTATTATAAAGTGAGAGTCCAAAAGAACGGCATAATGCAGCAAACAGAAAACAAAAAACCCCGATCTGGCAATACATAATTTATTTTCACCAAGAGCATCTGATGTTGAGGTGATAAGGTGCTTTAACTGGTTGATCCAGTTTGACTGGACAATCATAAAGCTATGCACTCCACACCTACCATACAGTGGGTACGGAAAGTATTCAGACCCCTTTAAATGTTTCACTCTTTGTTAAATTGCAGCCATATGCTAAAATCATTTAAGGTCATTTTTTTCCTCATTAATGTACACACAGCACCCCATATTGACAGAAAAACACAGAATTTTTGACATTTTTGCAGATTTATTAAAAAAGAAAAACTGAAATATCACATGGTCATAAGTATTCAGACCCTTTGCTGTGACACTCATATATTTAACTTAGGTGCTGTCCATTTCTTCTGATCATCCCAGAGATGGTTCTACACCTTCATTTGAGTCCAGCTGTGTTTGATTATACTGATTGGACGTGATTAGGAAAAGCCACACACCTGTCTATATAAGACCCTACAGCTCACACTGCATGTCAGAGCAAATGAGAATCATGAAGTCAAAGGAACTGCCTGAAGAGCTCACAGACAGAATTGTGGCAAGGCACAGATCTGGCCAAGGTTACAAAAAAATTTCTGCTGCACTTAAGGTTCCTAAGAGCACAGGGCCCTCCATAATCCTTTAATGGAAGACGTTTGGGACAACCAGAACCCTTCCTAGAGCTGGCCGTCCGGCCAAACTGAGCTATCAGGGGAGAAGAGCCTTGGTGAGAGAGGTACAGAAGAACCCAAAGATGACTGTGGCTGAGCTCCAGAGATGCAGTCGGGAGATGGGAAAAAGTTGTAGAAAGTCAACCATCACTGCAGCCCCCC